GCAAATGTAAACTTTTCATTCATCATTTGCAGGTGTGTTTCTCAGTCTACTGTTCCGAATATCTCTACTGTGCCCTACAGAATATGAATAAAGCGCCTTGGCTAGCGATCAAGTATTTTCTAATAGTAAGTACGATACTTGTACCTTAATGACTGGTCAACAATTAAAATTAGTCTACATTGCGGTTTTGATGGGCACTGTAGTCTGTCATGTCGACAAATTCACAACTGCACAAACTTGGGAGTTATTTTATATTGTTCCTCAGAGTTGTTCATGCATCTCAATTCATTTTTTTCTGGTCTTTCAATTCAACACCAAAAATGTATATTTGAAAGTAATAAAAGCGAAACGGGTGAAGGGAAGGGGTGAATTGGCAAAAATGGATGAAGGGGGCAAGAGGAGGAAACGAAGGAAGAGAAAATTAATGTCCCTCTCAGTGTCTGACCGAAATGGAGTGCATAAAAGAAGGAAAAGAAATCAAGAGGGTAATTTGGGTTGAGTATACAATTTTGTGTTTTACTATCGAATGATTTACTATCCAGGAAGTTTATCATTCATTTTTGAGCATCAAAACTTCTTCCAAATTATTTTTCTTTTCTTACAAAACTAACATTCTAAGATTTGCTACGCTAATGGAAATAGAGCTAGCGAACCTCAAAGCACCAGAAATTTAAAATTTTTCATTTTCTCTTCCACAAACAGTACTTCCATTATGCAAATGTATTAGTTAATGGGAATCTTAAATGGGATCTTCGTGGGGGTTTCCTTTATTCTAGCCAAAAATGATCCATCCATAAATTTTCTAGCCGGCTGTATGAACTAGCAAAAAAGAGGTGTTGTTGTCTTTAAAAGGTAAACGAAAACGAAAAAACGGTGAGAATCCGTTGAATGGGAAATGAAGTGCTTGAAGGTTTTTAAGGGAAAGCCTCCAGTTTTCAAAACCTCTTTGTTTGTTTTGTGAATAAACTTTGCTTTGATTGCATTAAATAGAAACCCAAAGAAACGAGTGATATGCCAAGGGATGGTCAATTGTATATCTTCTCTTTCATCTTCTTCACATTTCTCAGTCATTGGTGGATGTAAAGGAAACATAATCCGTTTGAGATTAGACTGAAACGGTTGAAAAGAGAAAAAGATTGGTAAGAAATCGGAGGAGAACTAATGGATAACGAATTTGGAGGAGAAAGGAGAAGAAATTGTAGAGAACACTGAGTTAACCATAAAAGAACTATTGATTAATGTATTTATGATATAAAAGATTAAATGATCAGCAAAATTTTGTGCACTTTACTGCATAGTTTTTAAGATATAAGATAAAGATCAGCTTTTCTATAAAACACGCATGTAATATTAAGTATTTAGATTTAGATCCGAGAAAATAAACTATTTACAATCAGTACAATGACTTACCGTAAATACTGTACTAGTACCGCTCCCCCCTCGTACAGTCGCGTAGTCGCATTCGTGGGAACGAGTACTGCACAGGAATGATTTCGTTTTCGAAAGCGCTAGTACTTCCAAAAAATAGCCCTGAACTTCAGCTATTTTTTGATACCTAAGCGCGCATTGTAGCATAAACCAGTGTCGAGAAAAACACGTTCAAAGCTAGACTACGTAACACTCCGAACCGTCATTATGGGGGTGGGGTACTATTACAGTATTTACGGTAAGTAAATCTTATTTACAAGAAAATAATTGCAGTTTAAATCGCGGCTGTTTTTGGACAAGAAGTTAATTTAAAATGAAAGTTATTCAATTGAAAAGAAAGGTTAAAAGGAAGGAGCATAGAGAAAAACAAAGTAAAAAAAGACGTTAACGCACTCCTTATATAGTGCGATTCACAGATAAAAGCTATTCGGCTCATTTAATTTGTTTATGCAAATTTATTCAATTAATTATTTAATCGAGAGGAACACACTCTAGCCACAATCCATTCCATCTCGCGCACCTTTTCCTTTTCCCGCACAAGTGTCACATATATTACACATATCCCATTCTATTCCCTTTTACTAAAAGAACCTTTCTCAATCACTTTGAGCTTCGTTAAATTACTCTCTTTTCAACAATAGGATTTCAAGTGGATGAGCGTCAAAGAACGGCGCACAATATGAAATTTTCAAGTGTTTGCGTTTAAATCCCAATATGGTTTTGGTAGCTATTACTTTTGAGTTGATTAAAGCCGTAAAATCTATCCGAAGCAGTACAAATCATCTATGATAATTGAGATAAATCCTAGCTTACTTCTTGAAAACTCCACCAGACTTATAAAGGGGCGAACTTTTCATTTCGTAGTTCATTTTCCCTCATGTGTTTACCCCACCGCACCCATTTCAATCGTTTGTTATGCAAAGGATTCGCGGTTTTCCGAAAAAACCCGTTGAAAAAAAACACAAAAAAGGGCAAGTTGATAAAAATGTTTTGAACTTGTTCTTTCTGAGCTCTATTCACCAAACTTTAAAAAGGAGAACATGTTTAACAAGTGGATACAAATTGAGCACGAAAAACACAATGAAGTAAACAAAAATATAGCCTGGGGGAGTTCAAGTAAACAAATGTGACTATTTTGATGAAATTTTCTCTTTTTTGAAGGAAAGGAATCGTGACCCAAATTGGGAAAGACCCGGCGGTTTTCCGGAAACTGAGAACAACAAGAGCTAGGGAAAAGCTGGGATAGGATTTGTTTGTCATTTGAAAAATCATTAAAATAAGAAATCAGAATAACAGGAAGGGAATAATCGTTAAAACGAGTGCACGATTCAAATAAACAGTTCTAAGAAATGTGTTTATGCTAGGCAAGACTCAAAGATTGTTTAAAAAGTCGTTTCACAGTGCTCTCGTTGCATCCAAAGTGTTCAGCCAAACTCAAACAGATAGTTTCCGGTTAAACAAACATAGCTACCAATTTTTATCAGCTTTACAGAATAAAAACTTTATGCCATGAAAACCAAAGACTTTTAAGATTGGCTATTGAAAATTGTGTCTCTTCATGCTTTTACAACAGACAGAACAAAAGGCCAAAGGCTACTAGACAAACTCTCTTCATCTTTTTGTGAAAGAGTGTATCGAATGAGGGACCTTTGTGGGCCCTACTAGGGTCCTTGGTAGAGGGTTATAAGAAAAAGAGATGAAGAAAGAGATGGGCTGTTGGTCCTTTGCTTGACCCCTCATCTTTCCTCAACAAGGACTCTTCTTCCACCCATATGAGGTTGGGGGATGGAGGGATGGGGAATAGAGGGAATGGAGGGGTCTCTCGTTGAGTAGCCTTTTATTCAGACAAGCTGATTTCTGCCTCCAGATATTCCAGAAAAGCAGAAATCTCTTTAGTTTTACGCGGAAAGTCAGAACAGGCAAAGTACCAACGTTGGCATGAAAACTTTCGAAAAAACGGCTGAGCCGAGAAAAATGTGCCAACCCAAAAAAAGCTTGTTATTTGGTGTAGATGTGCGACCAAAAGTCCGCCGATTTCAACAAAAGCGTACGGATGGACGGACGGAGGTATTATTTTTATATACAGGGTGTCCAATAAAAAACGTTAAAAAACGATATTTAATTTTAGATGCCGTATCTACCGACTCCAATCAAAGAAAAGATCGTTGAAGGTCGAAAAAATGGAATGAAAACAACAGATTTGGCTGAACAATTTGGATGCAACGAGAGCACTGTGAAACGACTTTTTAAACAATCAAAGATTATCGGTTCTCTACACGGAGCTGCAAAATCTGGTCGACATCCATCAACAACAACTGCCGAGGATCGATCGATCATAGGGGAATTCAAAAAGAACCCAAGTCTCACCTCGACCGACGGAAGCCGCCTGTATAAATCACAATTCAGCAAATATATCTCAGCAAGGACCGTGAGGAGGCGACTCATCACCGTGCCAAAACGGAACATCCGCGAAAAGAAGCTAATGCTATGTGTCGAACGGTGTTCGACAGGCATTCTTTTCTGGGAACTTCTTAAACCGAGGCAAAATTTCACCACCGATGTTTCTCTATTCATATGCAAAAAGTCGGGAGGTTGCTCTATGGAAACCACTATGAAAATAAATGAAATTCAAAATCTCTGGGTTTATGGGACAACCTAATACACAAAAATTTAAAGGTTACACATGCACGTTTACCACGAAAAATACGGTACCTTGTCAACTGTGTCAAAAAATACGACACCTGTCATAAACCTGAACCTGAACTCAAGAACCTTAATGAAAGCAATAAATTGAGACCTCATTGGACAGTGTTTTAAAAACTAAAGGGGCTTCCTGGCGATTTGTTTTTGTATTTAAACGCGTGGTTTTAAACTTGTGTGTCTTGAATGTGATAAAAACGACAAAATTTATCGATGAAAACATTAATTCACTTCAGCAGAAAATGAATAAAAAGCTTATATAGCCAAAATGCGACTACAGTAGGACACGACAGAAAAGGACACACTCTAGCAAAGAATGACTTGTAAATAGGCGCTGATTGTATTGTGTTAATTGTAGATTCAACACAAGTGGAGGGTACTCTCCAGCTTTAATAGCACTTTCCAATGAGGTAGATTCTGAATTAACCTTTTCAAATTCACTAAATCTAAAATAACTGCTTGCAATTTGTTTTTGAGTATGTCATGGTCGTTTTGTTTCTCCAAGCTTCATCTATTTGTTAGCATTTGTTTCAAGCATTTGTTAAACTCTCTTTTTCAAAAAATTTTTTGAAGAAATCATGAAAATCGATGTTCTTCTTGTTTGCGGGTGAAAAAGCGAGGCAAATGGAAAACTTGTGCAAGAATTTGGAAAGTCTTTTCTCTGTGTCTCTTATCTTTTCCCAGGCTTTGATAAAAGGATGGGCACAGCCGATACGTATCGAAGAGTGGTTCAGTCGTTTTAAATTGAGAATGAAAACGTTCTGATGAAATATTCTACTTTTTTGTCTTTAATTATTCTTTCAGAACTTTAAATGTAAATTGCTTGTGTTACAAAATAATCCACTAATTTTCCAGTTTATTCTCACCGAGTAATGGGAGAAAATTCGTCAGAGATAAGAGATGATGAGATGATGGGACATGAAGAGATGAGTCTTCAACCGGTTGGAGAAATCAGCATTGACAGAGATTGTATTGAAAAGGGACGGGTTGGTTTATAAATCGAATATTTCATTTGTTTAAGACAAACTTGTTATTTTGTGAGAAAGGATTTTCAACATGATTGGGATCTTGAGATATTCCAAATATTGCCAGATTAAATACATAAGGACTAAGGTGCTTTTAAAATGATGACAAATAATCTTTTAAAGTTTTCTCACAGTAATTGATTTTCTGATGCTTTCCATGACAAATAATACTAATTTTTATTCTACCGTGATACACATATTGCCTCTCCTAGTTTTAACCGGTTTTAACCAATTTTAACTCGATTTTTTTACGAAATTCTAAAGAAGGGGAGAGTTCGCTTGGAGAAAACCGCAAAACCGCAAGAAAAAGTGATAAGCGAAGAGGTGATAGGCGTCGTAAAAATTGGCTTTCTTTTACCGTACTCTTTTCCCGAAAAATCTTTTCACCGGAAAATCCATAACACACGTTTATCACAACCAAAACACAGAGAATGGATTTGTTTTAAGAAAAAGACTTAATTTGAGTAAAATTTAAGATACTTTTCTGTTAATGGAAGCAATAAATTGTCATTGATCCATCATGGAATAAAATTGACTTAATACCAAGATCGAAATTGTAGACTAATTAGCGTTCTTCTTGTTGAATGACGGTAAACCTCTGGGTCTCACATTTGCGTCAAAAAGTTTTGGCTTACTACTGCATTTTATCAGGCTGCGCTGCTGATAAATGAGCGCGAAATTCTGTTGCAAAGAAAAGTATCGATAGCTATTCGATAGCTATAGATACTTCTTGATAGCTATTGATTGCAATATGTTGGTAGAAATACGCAGCAAAGTCGTATCAAGCATTGATGGAGAAACGAAAAGAAATATCGAAAAAGATTTAGCCAGCGAACCGATTGGAATCGACGAAAGAAGGATGGGACGAGATTGTTGGAGATTTAGCACCATCCTTGGAGGGAGAGGTGTTTTTTTATTTTTTGTACAGAAATACATGAGCTACCTTTTGAGTATTTTATTCTCCAAAATATAATATTTTCAGGGTGAAAAAATACAAGACACTTTGGGTATCGGTAAAGAAAGTATGGAGAACACAGAAACAGAGACGATTACAACTGAAGTGAAGATTGTCGAGTCTAAACGTTGGTTTTGTTTTGTAATAATTATGCAATAGAAAACTTCATGTTCTTGCTGTCAGGCTGTCAAGAAAGTCTTTTCGTTCCTTTTCGTACTTTCGTTGAAAAATAACAAATTCACCAATTAATCTATGGTTTTCTCTAAATAAAAAGTGTTTATTGTTCAATTTCCCATCTTTTTAAGTCAATTTGGGTTCACTTTCAAGAAAATTCGAGAGTGAAAACGGGTTTTTCGTAATAATCTATAAAAACCTCTATTGACTGAATCAATTTCTCTGAAAATGTGGCTATTTACCCAACTTTTTGTGCTCTATCTTTTATTTATTGACACCAAGAAAGGTTTCCTTGTCTAAACCGCATCACAACCCTTTTTGACTACCCGACTTCAGGTTCTCAAAAAAACCCAGACATAAGACATTTTAGACCCGTTTTGATCTTATTTTGCAGAAAAATAATTCGCCTTTCTAATGAAAAAAAACCGTAGTTCAATTTGTGCATTTGTTGGTTTTAAACGGAAGTACGAAAAGGAATGAAAAGATTTTCTGGGCAGCTTAAAATTATTTTATATTTTTCGAATTTCATTGTGTTTATTCTCACTAGGGAAGACGCCAACCTAAGGTGGAATTTCAAAAAAGACCTATTCTATCTTCTTCAGTTTTTCATGGACTTTCCTAATCCGCTTTTAGTTTTTCCTACGCAAGGAATTTGGAACGCAAGGAACGCAAGGAATTTGGCTTTAAAGTTTTAGCTATCCCTTTGTAAGACTTCCCCGCTTGCCTTAAAGTTCTGTGACCGAGAGGTAGTCCCTGTGACCGAGAGGTAGTGCTCTCGGTTACTGAACAAGATAAGAGAGGTCTCGTCGTTTGAAATTTCAACTTAACTTGGTGACCCTCCCAAGTTAAGTTAAAATTTCAAACGTTAAGGCTTGGTGAATACTTTGATACCTTTAGTTGTTTCAAACGACGAAGATATCTTACCACCAACACCAGATATCCCTCCTTCATCATTTACACCACTAAGCATCGAAACTCCAAGTTGATTTGAAAAATAAAAACAATATTTTTTATTTTAGCTTCATCAAGAAAGAAATCTGTTCAATCGACCAACAGTTCACCATCACCAAGAATCGCTTCCGAGGTTACAAATCGTTCCCTTTCCTGATATCCCATTTTAGGACGATCAAAATTTGGATCAAATGATTCATCTCTCATTGGAAATTCAGGTGATCAGTTGAAAATGAACACTCTTTTCTTCAACAAAGCATTTTTCAGCAGACCCGGGGTCAAAAGACTAGTTTTGTTTCGAGAAATCAAAGCTCAAAACCGCAGGTACCAAAATTTTAAACCAACTAAGCATAAATCTTACAATTAGTTCTACAAGAATATGATACTTTTAATAAATATATTAGTTTTAAATATATTACACTTTTAATAAGCATATTTGAGTAGAACGCTTGATATTCTAGTTTGGTTCATCTTTCAGAAACGACAGCCTCCACCCAAAAAGCGAAAGCTCACTCAATCAGTGATTGAAAAAATCGAAAGCCATTCAAGCACATCTACCGTATAAATAGCTTGCTTATAAAAAATAACAAGATTTACAGGCTTCATCTAAAAAACAAGACCAGAAGCTAAGGAAAAGGGACAATTCTAAAAGTTGGCGAGAAAGTATGGCTGAAATGAGAAGAGAATTTCCGGAATTAAAGGGACAAATCGAAGAAATGAAAAGAGAAAAAAAGGAAATGGAGAAAAAATTGGTGAATGTAATGGAAAAACTAGAAGAAAAGGATAAGGAAATCAATCGATTGAATCATCAAAACGGAAAACTTTTGGGAAAAGTGAGAACTTTTGATATACATACATGATATACATGTATAATAAAGCAAAAGTTTCGTCAAACAGTATATTTTAGAATCAAATGTTAATGGAGAAAATCGATCATCTCGAAGAAAAAGCTGCTCGACAACCAATTGTGCATTTATCAAGTCCTATTTGAAAAGTTCATCATCTTTTGTTGTCTATTTGTATAGATTCTGTACTGCAAAATAAACCATTTCACTTGAGATAAGCTCTTATGAAAGATAACATGTCATTAAAGGGTGACAAAGGTGACCCTTTTGGTAAGGTAGTTGTCAAAGGCCTAATTGAATTCAATAAGTACCAAGTGTTATATAGAGAATTGAAGCTCTGAATCTTGGCTACATTTATCTACTGCGAAACTTTCAAATTATAAAATTTGATTCAACTACCAAGCTCACAAATGAGCTCTAGCCGGCCTTTCTTCGGACCGCTGCCATTTTTGACAAATTTCTTTAGAAAGGCTCTCTCGAATCAAATTTGTATTATCTCTGTCTAATAAATCATTTACAACAAATTTATAACGTTAGAGCAACTCATACAATACAATTTTAGTCACAATCGGTCAAAAATAGCAACGATCCGAAGAAAGGCCGGATAGAGCTAGAGCTTGATAGTTGAATCGGATTTTATAATTTGGAAGTTTCGCGGTAGATAAATGTAGCCAAGATTCAGAGCTTCAATACTCTACATAACACTTGGTACTTTTGAATTAAATTAGGCTTTTGTCAACTACATTACCAAAAGGGTGCGCCCATGATTCTTTGTCACCCTGTAGAATGATCCAAGCTTGTCAAATTCAATGCTTTCAGTAGTCAACTTTGAAACTAATTGTTTATCTTGCGGATCTTTAATATACTTTTGGGACTTTAACGTTTTTATTGTTAGATGAAAAAGCAAGAATATTGATGATTTGCCCAAGTAACTGAAAACAAGACTCAGTCAGTTCAAAAAAATTCGTTGTGGAACGACTTAGCTAGGTAAGTTCTTGGAAATCTTCCGGAAACGAGTATTCCAAAATTGAAAGACTCCAAAATTATGAATATTAATTTTAAACTCTTTTGATTGTAGACTGGCAATCAGAAGAAAAATGATAAGAAATTTGAGGAATTGAAATGAAATAGGCAAATAAAGACAGGCACCCATCAATCTCTGATCGAAAAAGGGTTAAAGCAGAAAAGGAGAAAAAGGAAAGGTCATAAAAAAATCCCAGAAAGTATTTTATATTGAGAATTTTTGAAAATAAATTGATTTAAAGTGGATGAATGTAAAAAAAAAGTTAAACGACGTCGTAAGAATCTTTGAGATGCTAAACAAGCTACCCCAGATCATAAACATCCATTGTGCAAGAAAATCCTTGAAAATCATTCATCATCGTCCGGGTTTTGCAAGAGAATTCTGTTTTAAAAAGAAAGACTTTTCTTTTCTTTTAAAGAAACCGCAACCTTTTTACTTTTAGTTTTGCAATTTAAATTTTTCCAATTCCTTATAAGACTTAAATTTCTACTTGGTGCAATGATTTCGAATTATAAAATTTCTTTCCTGTAGTGCAAACACAACTTTGACATACTCGTCGAGCTTATTGTGTATTTTTACGCTTACCCTATGGAACATTCTGTTTTCGTTTTGGTGTTGCCAGAATAAGTTTTAGGTTTAGTTTTACCCCGTGATCATTTTCCCCTAATCTTTTTATCTATTAGTCTATTTATCTTTGTCCTACTGTAATTTTCTTGCTCAAGAATTTTTCCTCTCTCAGAATACTATGGTGACAGAGAGTTCACCACTTTTTACGAGCTTTGCATTTAGTTTTGTGATTTCTTGCAATTTCAAAACGTGATGAAAGGAGTGGATACTTATTCTAATCGAGTGATTGATGCGTTAACTCCAACAAGTCTTCCCGTTACGTCTCAAACGTTCTTTGCTGGTTCTCAATCATATTCACGACAAGAGGTAAACTAATCTTTGCCAACATAAAAAATGGAACGCTCTTGGCATCTAAAAGTTCGGCCTAGTGCACGGAGTGTAAAATTCATTGATCAAGCAGCAGCTATCAGTTTTAGGAAAGCAAAATCCATCAACAGCAGAAGCCATCAACAGAAATGGAGCAAGCTGGCCCGTCGGATTCTCGGGTAAGAAAAGATTGTCGATGCCAAAAATATGGATGGCTAGTAAGTATTGTCGCGTATAATGCCTGTTACCCCTCGAGGTAGTTCCGAATCTCATGAGTTTAAGAGCAAAACTTAAAAAGTTAATTGAATAAATTCTACTTGTATGAGAAGCTTAGAATTGGTCTCAAACAATGTGGCTTTTTTGAAAAGCACAAGCACGAGCACGACAAGCACAGAATCGCAATAAAATCTTTCACAGTCATTGTCTCAAAAATCCATGCTTAGATTTAGATTCCCTAGACTCTTAGCAACATTTTGGTATGCTACTCATGAGATTTGGATCAAACCTCAAGGAGTGCGTTCAAGCACGCGACAATACCTATTAGCCTACTATAGATCAACTGATTCTACTTGTTCTCAGCTCGTAAACAAGGCAAGCCAACACTGTTTAGGTGAAGAAAGAACAAGAAAAGGAACGAAAACGACATAACGCACGAGTGTGGAGAGAAAATATGGCACAAATGAGAAAAGATCATTTCAAGCTGGAAGTGAAAAGTGAAGATTTGGAGAGACAGAATAAGAGATTGAGGGAATCATTGGAGAAATTACAAGCGCAGGTTGAAATGAAAGAACAGCAAATACAACAATTGAATCGAGAAAAAGGAATGTTGGAAGCTGAGGTGAGAAAAGTTGAGGCTTTGAATTTTTTTGCATTTGTATCTCTAAATCTCTTTTCCAGATCACTTACCTTCAACACCATCCATCAACCTTTCAGCAGAATACCTAAGGAGTAGAATTTGACGATGTATGCTCAACTCTGCAATAAAAGTGGCCCTTTTGCGAATAAAATTATGTACTTATTTAAATCACTCACCAACGTGTTATTAGACTTTTACGACAAAAAAGTTGAACAAAACGCGTATTTTCGAACAACACGCAATTCTCAGAAAAAAGTTAACGGTTCAAAAATCAAGTTTTCGCCATGATTCCACCTGTTTGTGAAACTGTTATCTCTCAAAAATGTTTATTATTTCATTAAATATTGACGAATTTCATGAAACTTCAACTTTTTCTGTATATCAATGTATATGGCGGTGAAAGATGAAATGGAAACATTTGTCTAATAGGTTGATGCAAAAGTCTTTTCGTTTTTCTCGTACTTCTGTTAAAAAGTAACAAATTCACCAATTAATCTATAGTTTGCTCTATAAAAAAAGTGTTTTTTGTTCAATTTCCATCTTTTAAAATCAATTTCGGTTCACTTTCAAGCAAATTCGAGATCGTAAAAACGTTTCGTAAAAATCTATAAAAAACTCTACGGAAAAATTGGCTGAATGAATTTCTCTGAAATTTTGGCGAAATATCAAACTTTTTTTTCTCTATCTTTTATCTATTGACACGAAGATAGGTTTTCTTTAGCTAAGGTGTCTAAACCGCATCATCGAGTTAGCCCTTTTTGACTACCCGACTTCATACTCTCAAGAAAATCCAGGCATAAAATATTTTTAAACCCGTTTTAATGTTATTTTGCAGAAAAATAATTTGTTTTTCTAATGAAATCAACCGTAGTTTAATTGGTGCATTTGTTGGCTTGAAACGGCAGACGAAAAGGAACAAAAAGACTTATGCATCAACCTAATATATCAGTTATGCGATTGAGATTTTATTCTATCTATTGACCATCATTACCGTACCCTTTGCACACTTATTTTTGAGAAAAACAATGGTTAGTTTATTGTTGATCATTGCATTTGATCAATTGTCAGCTTGTTCATCCAAATCTCCAAGCAATTGATCTTGTCACAATGTATACAGTTTATCCATTTACACCTGCTCGAGCTAGTATTCTATACTTTCAAAGTCAACCGAATCTCACTTGCAAAATTTATTTCGAAAGTAAAATGAAAGGGAAATTTGAAAAGTAGTTTAGTTTTTAGATTGGGAAATATGTCCAAAGGGATTGGTTGCATTCTCGTATGTACAAGCAACAGTATTCTGTTTAGCATCGGGTAAGGAACGCTGTACGAGTAGAATCTTTAGTTGAAAGTGATCGATTGGCTGGCCGCCATGGCCGACTGGCTAAGAACCCCGTATCCCCGTCAAGGGTTAAATCCCGCCGGCTATTTTTCGGCTATTGGTTCTTTTTTCCATATGTATGGGTATTCCCCTACATTTAGGGCTTAAGGGTTGTGCTTGTATATTGTTTGTACCACATTATTCGTGTGAATCAATGTATTTCTAAAGGGCATTGTAATTCTGTATTTAGTGATGCCAGCTGCGGTGTTTTTCGAGCGAATCATGGCAATGATCGAAGTGGATACGTACGAGACTGAATATCACAAAGCATTTATTTATTGGTCTAATGCTTGCATTGAGCATCGCAGCCCCGATTGCCGGTGAACTGTACACATTTGGTGAAAACGTTTTAAACTATAACCTAACAAAATAATGTTTATAACCTTAATTTCACGACAAAGTGGTAAATGTATCGGTTGTGCTCTGGCATTGTTCGGTGGTTTGGTGGGAATTGTTTTTATTTTTGTCAATCGTGTTTTCAGTTGAGTATCAAGATAATAAAAATTGACAAAAAGCAGATCCGAGAGCGGTATTCTGAAAGATATTCTCTTAGTAAAAGCTATCAACTACGAGAAAATGTGAAAGCAATGGAGGTTTTAGAAAAGTAATCAATAAGGAAAGATATTTTTGTCAGATAGTGGCATCAATCGTTTGGCGATCAGTGGTCTGTATTTTGATTTATGTTGATTGTTTGATTGTTTGATTCTTCTCTTTTACATACATTCATTGAATCTCTCCTGGACAATAAGGAATTACATTGGAATGTTAATTGAAATGTATCTCGGCTTTTAAGTTGAATACCGTATTTTCTTCACTCGTACAACAAATCCAAATTTTCTAGTTTCTATTTCTCGATGACACTCCTTGTTATTACTGCAAATCAACGAGTCTATCGACTAGCAAAGCTTGTTTGCTTTGGAAAATTGCATATCCATGGGTAAATCTTTGTATCCCTGAAATCTTTTGCATATGCAAAGAATTTAGTCATCATGTGGAACCGGACGAGCGGAAAACCAGTCAAATCTCGACCAAACAAGTAAAGGGCTTTGATGGAAAGGTAGTATTGTAGCAGTGACTATGTAGCTCCTTTTGCGACGAGAAAATATTGTGTGTGTCAGCTAAGGCAATGTCTGGCTTGAATCAAATGTGGCATGCTGTTGAAAGCTCCCCAATTGAATGATCCACTTATCGAACATCTCAAACTTGAGTAATTAAACCAATAGATGAAAAAACAATAGAGAACAGAGAACAGAAAATAATGTAGAATGATTTAAGATTATTTCACAGACTAATAATTGAGAGAGCACAGTGTGAGCAAAAAAAATGAATTGCTTTAAGGTTTACGTCGCTGCCTTTATAACTGAATGACTTTTGTTGACTTTTGTTTACTGAAATGTTTGTCTACGGTAGTGTGAGCTTTGTTTGGGATTGAGGCTATGCATTTGCTTTAACTTGGTGACAGTTGTCACAACTCCAACAAGTTACTTTAAAAAATGAACTGACAAATTACAAAATCAAATCAGAATTATGACGTGGACAGTACGGTATTTAGATTTTGTACACTGGAGCCAATCAGGAAGATTATTTTAAGCAACTCGAATTAGCTTGGGGATTTTCACACAAAGAAAAAAAGAGTCTAGTTGAAATTTTTGTTTGAATACACGAGAAGATTTCAAAGAATCGTTTTGAGGTATTTGTTTTTAGAAAAGAAAAACACCTGTTAGCCTTTTCTGATAAACAATTTCACAGCTCAAAACAAAGCACAAAAAATAGAGCATTGTTTTTTTGCAAAAATATTGCAAATAATAGTAACGAGTTAATCTAACATGTACAGGGGAATCTTTTTGAAACAATTAAAAGTCTCACGCAATTTTTTGATCAGCTTTTATCGCATCACATTATTTATTCAAATTCTAAGCAAAATGCCTCATCTGCCTCATCTGCCCTATTCGCCTGATATCGCTCCCTCAGATTACCACTTGTTCCTGTCTATGCAACACTCTCTTGCAAATCTAAAGTTTAACAATCCTGAAGAAGTCGAAAGTTGGGTGCAAGACTACTTTGCATCGCCGGACCCCGAATTTTTCGAATCAGACATCCGAAGTCTACGCAAAAAAATGCAAGATCATAGTTGATAATAATGGCAAATATCTTTTGGAAAAAAGTTATCTTCTTATTGATTCTTGGGTTGTTCAAATGTTGGTTATAATCCGCAGTTTCTTTGGCAAGTACCTAATAACATGGAATCTTTTTTGAAACAATTAAAAGTCTCACGCAATTTTTGGATCAGCTTTTATCGCATCACATTATTTATTCAAATTCTAAGCAAAATGTTATTAAAATTGCATAGAAACGTGAAATTGAAATGAAAAAAACAAGTTGACAAAATTGTGTGAAAGAACCACCTCACTATTAGAAGGAAATAAACTTTTTGATAGAGGGCACTGCCCCCAAACCGATAAGAATTCATCTATGAGATTACTGTTGTTAGCCGAAAGGAAAAGAATCACAAAATATACAAAAAGTATTCAGAAAAACGTTATTAAGCAGTATGATTTACAAAGTACGAAAATTAAGAATTTGGCGGTAATTTTGAGAGGTAGCGATTGAAAGTGAGAAATTCGTAGTCCGGGTTGTAGACGGCTATCTGAAAACGGGTATTGCTCTAGATTTATACAATTTATCTTTGATTTAATTATTGACTTGATTGATCTTGATCGAATACAAACCCTTTTCACTCCTTGATTCAACCATTCTCTTGTTGGTTCCTCATCATTTTCTGTCGCATTTTGCTCCAACATTTTCCCGGCTTTTCTGTGTCTTTTGCTGACCATTTCCCTCAAGACTTCTATCTAAAATTTAAATTTTAGATTGTGCTATTTATTTCTTTTGATCTTCATATTCTTTTGATCTTCACAATTCATTCAATTCATAATAAACCTTTTCTTTCGAACTCCTCCTTGAGCGTTGCATCTGTGCCCGGAAATTAGGGCATACTGATGGAGAATATGGCGATAAACGAACCTAAATTCATACAGGTACAAGTTATATTCCCGTAATTACCGTATCCCAAACATCATGATAGAATTTTGTCGGTGATTCGGGTCCTGAAGACACTTTGCTCACATTTCTTTTCAGGAAAGCCGGACCAGCATCGGGACACTGTTTACTTCGCTAAAACAATAATTTGTTCAACAGTTTTCTCTTTCATTTAATGATTTTCTCAATCCAAACTCACCCCAGGTGATCCATGTTCATTGTCTCCGTTGGTTTCTCCAGTCGATCCTCTCCCTCTTCTTCTCACTTCAAATCTTCTCCGAACTTCTGCATTTCTTTTTTCCCTTTCTGCGTCAAATTCCTCGAGATCTTTTTCGGTATCGACTAGCTCGATCTGGAATTAAAATCAATCAGGAATCATCAACCAAAAACGCACCGTCACTCGTGGTTCATCAACATCGTGAATCGTGTAAATCTTGAAACAATTTTCTCGAATCAATTGCCTTTCCGCGAAATCCGAATAAGCTGTCTCAATTCGGGTTCGATTCTCATCAAATTCGTACATTTTTGGAGCCTAATCAATATTTTAAAATTTTATACTTCAAAGATTTCGAACCTTATTCATTCGATATTTGTCATAAGCATCCAATGATCGGAAACTTTCCTCCTCGGTCACAAGCTGAAATTCAGCATTTTATCCAACAAAGTGACATTTCTAGTACCTGATGCAACTGTTTGCACATTTGAATGATGAACTTGTCCATCATAACCACTTGATGTAATTCTGATGGGAAGAGGGTTCTGGAAAAGAAATGATCTCATGATCTCTTTGCTTTGTTCAAGTAATAGTACTTTATATATTTACCTGACATTGTCTTCAAAAGCTGTTTGTTCTGTTGCTCCATCCATTAGATTTTTCACTTCAAGTAAAGCGAGCGCATAGTGTTTCTCCGGATTGACTCGAGGTGCCTGAAATGGTGTTTTTGTCTAATAGCTCCACGCAGTGTCTAGTAGTGTCTAGTAGTGTCTAGTATCTAGTAGTGCCTAGTGTCTAGTGTCTAGTAGTTCCTTTCCCATACTTTATCTTCACTCACCTTGAAAGCGCTGAGTCCATTGAATGGATCACTTGCATTAATCTCATGTCCCAGCACATCTTTCCCATACTTTTTGTACACTTCTTCACGTTTCTTTTGAATCTCTTCTTCAATCTGAAATTTCATGTTCTGAATGTTGTATAGCTTTATCAAACCATAAATTCATCGACCATCTCATCGCATTTCTTTTTTAATTTTCCGAGTCGTTCACAAACCATTCCATGAAAACGGAAAAAAACAAAAAGTGGATTTGCACCGTAAACCTGAAAATTGTTATGTTAAATAAATTTTCAATTTTACAAACCATTCGATATGTTGTTGTCAGCTTTGGCCTATTCCAGAGATCCATTGTCTTTTCTTTGATCTTGTCAATATCCACTGGAACGGGGCTTTTTGTTCTCTCCATTTGTCGGGTTCTGAATGATAAATGGTTAGTGAGATATAGTCGGATTTCTACAGCTTTCAAGACTTTTTTCCGAAATCAATTCCCTTACCTTCTTCTTCCCTCTTCTTCTTGTTTGCTATTTGATGGTGTTTCTTCATCATCACTATCTGGTTCTCTTTCCACACCAAACCATTCAGGGATCCATCTTCGAATTACCTAAAACTTTAATGTAAAATTCAAATTCTTCTTCCTCGCCTCTTTCATTTTCTCTTTCTCTTCTTTTTGGAAAAATCTCTTCACATGGTGCAACAAGAGATCGTTCACATCGTGAATGATTGTCCTGAAAATTTACAATAGATAATGATGAGGTTTTCCTAGATCTTTCTATTTGAATGAGACTCACATATCAACAGGATAAGTGATGACAAGATGTGGTCCCTCATCGGCCACTTCACCGAGTACTGATCTAAAAACCATTTATTCAGCGATCTGCAAAGTGGTTTGTGTTTGTCAAACATGCACATCAGCAATCACTTTTCTCACCTTCTTTGTCTTTCATCAAAAAGTTTCTCAATTTGATATATGAGTGCTTTTCCTCTCATCCATTTTGCATCCACTGTTTTAGCGAGATTTGATTGATGATCCATTGCTCGTTGGAAGTATTTTTCCATCTAAAAACTTTGATATTTCATTCAAATAAGTGAATAGAGACGAATCGGCTCCACAAAGCTTACATGATCTCTCCATATTCCATTCATCTTGCGTTGAGCGTCAATCCATTCGCTCTAAAAATTGTTTGTCAATTTTCTACTTTTGTTCAAATTCACCTGTTTTTGCTTTAGCCGTTCGATTACTCGAGGCACAGCAACAGTCGGATTTTTCTTCATTGCTTCAATGATCTTGAATGATGCTTCACCGTAGATTCGTTTGATGGCTCTAGAATAAAATACGGGGTGATTCAAAAGCCTCTGTGGTTTTTTCAGTGCTTTATCATAGCTTCTTCATCGGTGCTAAGGATCTGTATAAACATCGGAAGTTGAATAATTTCGGCAGAGTGCCAGACTAGTTGTGCGTGGCTCAAAGGGTCAACCATATAAAAAAAGCTATGATAAGCTATGGGCTTATCATAGCTTTTTTGATAAGCCCCATTAGTGGTTTTAAGTATAATTTTATTAAGGTTTTCATTTAAAAAATTTTTAGTGGAATTCCTCAGTCATTTTAAAATCAAGCTTTAGTAAAAAGTACGGGAACTTTTGGATCACCTTTGGATGTATATCAACTGCCTAGCTTGTTTTTCTTTCTATCTACAAAAAATCACCTTTGCATAATACTTGATGATGTGGATCCAAGACAATCATCCACGAAGACATCTTTCTTTTGTTTGATTTTTCTCATTATTGTCTCCATTGCGGTAATCGCGTATTTGTTCACCTCGATTATGATATCCAACTAAAAACGTGGCTTAAACTTTAGTCCATTACCTTGTTTTACCTCAAATCGATCATCTTCTGTCTTATGAAGGTATTCTTCGTAAACAGATTTCTTCTGTGAAACGTTTGTCGAATCTTCGGAAAGCCATGAAGGAAATGAGACCCAAGTGTCGTTCAAAACCTGAAAAAATGGAATTGATCGCTGGAAAGCTGAAAGTTGCAAAAGCTATATTGCTGAAAAGCTATATTGCTGAAAAGCGTTTGTTAAACCTTAGGCTTGTCTACTAGCTAATACTTCTTGCATTGCTATAGATATATTGATTTCACCTCTCGACAAAGTTGATTTCTTCCAGAGCAGACGGGTCTTCGATAAGTATCGGGGAGAGCTCGATATGATGCACCCAATTGCTTGCAACTGTTGTAATCAATCTCATGGGCGAGATCGCTGTGAATTCGGGGACTGATCCCTGGACGTCTTGCTTCATCTGAATTTTTGCCTTTAAAAGATCATAAATTGCTTAATGTTGTAATCTATAGAAACATTTGCTCTTTTATATATAGTAGGTAGCTTGCCTTCAATTCTTTCGATGCTCACACCCAGTTTCACGTGGAAATAGTTGACTACTTCAGGCAATACTGAAAAACAGATTAAATTGTAAGGTTCAATGCACTTTGTACGTACAATCTCCAATAATTGCTTTGATGAATTGCAGCACTTCTTCCTCATTCACCAACTTCGATGTGTACAAATTGAGGCCACGGAGGAAATTTTTGTATCTTCTTAAAAGTTCAAAATTGTACTTATTAAGAAGAAATTTAATACTCAATAAAATAAACTTAATTTAGTACTTTGGGAATACTCAATAAAACTTACTTAGTAGGTAATACTCGTCGAATTTTCTCGAATACTTCAATATCTTCATTTGTCAACAAATCATCAACTTCATCCATTGGAACCTCTCGAGTCCACAATTGTTTTCTTGATAGACGGGGTTTCTGAAATTGTACATTTTACATACATTCTACATTTTAGCAAGCAATCCAACCGATGTTTAACAATCTAAAAGTTCATTGTTAATTTCTAACCTTTCCAGGCCCATAATGAGAGACGGAAAGTTGACGTTTCCCTCGTAAAGATTGAGATCTCTAAACTTTGAAAAGTAAATGAAAAGCCGGTTTTTCATACGTCTTCTGGGGTGTTTCGTTCTTCAGACTCCGCTTTAATATCATCTAAAGAATTTCGTTTTATTTTCAATATCTATGTTTTACCTTCTCGCTCATCTTCACTCTCCTCTTCACTTGACGATGGTTGGTCGATGGTTTCGGGTTCCTAGAAACATTAATTACCGTAATTATTCTAATAAAAGACCTTCTACTAGAATAATTACGGTAATACTTGAATGTCTAAATTGTTTTAAAGCATAAAAGCTTAGAAATTGTTTATAAAGCAAACTTCAATCTCGTCTTCTAATTCATCTTCACTACTTGGTTCTTCAATTCTCCCTTTGGCCATCAATGTTGCTTCTGGGAGGAAATAACGGAACTGAAATTTTCTATTTGAAGTATTTTGTTGATAGCTCTATATTTTGCCATAAGTTTCCTAATATTTCACCTCATCAAGTAGATCAGGTTCATCTTCAAACAGTTTCCCAATCGCATCCAAAATGTAGCGCTCTGCGGCTGCGGAGTTTGTCTAAATTGTGAAATTGTGAAACAGCATAAAATTTTTTTGACTACATTTACAATTAGTTAAAACATACCGCTATTTTCATTTGGTCTTGATACTTTGTGAGAATGTCCAAAAATTGTTTGTAGACGCTTGGTTTCGAGTGAAATCGACTCTGAAAATGTTTGGCATAATAATTCTATAACTTTTATGTGTACCTTTATTTTATTCACATAACCAAGTGCTTGACTAAAGCCGGGATTTCCCAGTTCTTCGGTTTTTTCTTTTTTTTCTCCTCGAGTTGATTGTTGTATGGGTGTCACGGTTTGAACTAAATCTTTTAGAATGGAAAATTTTATATGCTGAATTAATTTGGGAATATTTACTGTCAATAACTCACCTGGTTGAATGATTTGTTGTGGTTGTGGGGGAGCCTTTCGCTCAGCGACTGTTAGTGGTTGTGGATGAGAAATTGAGACTTGAGTCATTTGCTGTTGCTGTTGCTGTTGTTGAGCATTTGAGGCAGCCATTTGCATTGTGATCTGGATTTGCAAATAAACAAAGTCCTCGAATTTTGTTACGTTTACCTGTTGTCTTACGGTAATCTCTGCTGGTTGAATTCGATTCGCCGCTGCATTTCTATACAAAGCTGGATCTAAAAATTTCGATTTTGATTTCATTTTTTTGTAATTTACTTGTAATAAACTGATGAACAGTGGGCTCTTGATGAACGAATGAATCGGGAAGTATTGAGGGTTTCATCTCGATCGGTCCCTGAAATTGTGGCTTAATTCTTGGAGAAAAATCAACTTCAAGTCTTACTTTATTTATTAGGTTTATTAGTACTTAAAATAAAACCTGTGTTGGCGGAATAATGGGCATTTGTGAGACTGTTCGTGGAGTATTCAGATGTGGATTTCCAGATAGATAATCGCAAACTTCCTATATTTTAAAATGATCACTGTTCAAGCTGAAAAATTCTTACTGTAACGTTTCCATTTGGTTCTCGGATCAAAATTTTGTTATTTCCTTCGTTCATGAGTACTTGGAAACCGGAGGGAAGAAAAGCATTAAAGCCCATGATCAATGCGGGTTTTCCACTGAACAATTGGGAAACACGTTGAATCACTCCGGGGGTGTCGATTCTGAATAAGGTTAAGTATTTGATGTGTTCATTTGACAAGGTAAAATGTATTTTATGTTTTTTTAAATCATTATTTGGCAATAAGTTTGATGATGGTGACGTTAAAACTCACGTTTGATTCTTGAAATCTTTCATGATATCGAGAAATTGTGTGTAAACAGAAGACTCATGGCTGAATTGAATTGTTGCAGTTATAAAAATAAAAAAACTTACGTGAATTGGTTTTTCACTTGATCCAAATACGAGAGCGCATCCTCAACCTCAAATTTGTTAAAACTTAAATAAAAGTTTTCGGTATGCACAAGTCAGAAAGCTATTAAATGAAGAAATAAAAATTGCCATTTTGTGATGAGCGAGGATAAAAGTGCTCAGTAACTAGAGTCAGTTTTTCCGAAATCATTTTTAAACTTTTCGTTTGAAAAGTGTATAGTAATTTTAGTTTTCTATGCTAGTCTCACCTTTACTTTGCTTTGGTTCGCGTTTTGCTGTGGATCATCAAAACCGAGCAATCCACCAGGAGGAAGTCCCGTTGACATATCGCTTCAATTCCGAACCCTAGACGTTGTACAATTCGGTGAAGATCAGTAAACGATTATTTTGGCTCGAAATAGCTTTTTACTAGTGTAAAAGAAGGGGCAAATTTGAAGTTCGAAAAAGAAGCGAAAATGGGGCTCAAGCTTTGAAATGAGCAGATGCGACGCGACCGTTGTTTGGTGTATTTTGTAGTTGAGCAGATAAAATAATTCAAGCCTCTAATTGAATATCTTTAAGAGAGTTTAAAGCTATAAATGTTGAAAATGGCAAAATTTTTCATTTTCGAAGAATTCGACAAGGAAAGTTCGATCGAAATTCATCAATTTTCTTCGAATGGCTGATATTTACGCTCTGCCGGAGCCAATCAATGGCGAAATTTTTGGACATAAATTGGAGGATTTGGAAGAAGCGTTGAAGCTCCTCACTGAGGCGGACATGAAAAAGCTAGACGAGCTCGAGAAGTTTGCAATGTTCTTCAAGAATGCCCGTGTCAATTTCGGCTTCACTCAACTGGATGTTGGACACGCACTTGGACCTCGCTATGGCGCTGAATTCTCGCAGACAACCATCTCACGCTTTGAAGCCTGCAATCTTTCCTTCAAGAATATGTGCAAGCTTCAACCGATCCTTGAGCAATGGATTTGCGAGGCTGAAAAGGCTTTGCTGAACGGAACATCTGTTGGTGCAATTGTGGAACTTGGAACTTCTGGTTCTTTCATCACTGAAGACGAAGATTCGCCGATGAAGAGACGAAAACGACGCACACAGCTTAGCTTGGAACAAATCAACATCCTTGAGGTTGTCTTTCGAATCGATCAAAGGCCTTCACTTGATTACATGTCGACATTGGCTGAGGAGATGTCACTCGGACTTGATGTGGTGAAGATCTGGTTCTGCAACCGACGCCAAAAGAAGAAGCGCAACTGTGAAATCTTCGAGAAGCCCGATTTGAACAACTTGAAAGGCGTATTGATCACTGAGCCAACACCAAAGAAGAAGGGCCGTCGTCCAAGACACTTTCCACCTGAAGATGATGGTCAGCTTCCAACGTGCTCTGGTGCTGCACAATCCAGCAGCTCTACGATTCTGCAAGAGTTTTTTATTAACAACTCATCGATGTCTTTGATTTCACAGACCGCACATGAGGATGCTTTGATAAAGGGAGAGCAAATCTTCGAGGAGGGAGACGATACCTCTTGTCAAGCTCTTTAAATCAATTACATGTTTTGTTTGCTTGAGCCCGTTAATTTCTTTTGTTTTAGTATTCTTTGGTTGTTACTATACTTTTGGTTATTCTATGATGTAATTAATAAATTTGTTTAGATACCGTCGACTAATGGAGGAACAACGGCAGAAATATGGAGAACTGTTGCAACAACTCCCCCTTGAGACGGTCGACTATGCCTTTGCTTACGGAAGCGGTGCTCTACAACAAAAGGGAGAGAAAAAGGAGGAAAAGGTTTCTGAGGTTTAGCATTTTTAAACTGATTCGTTTAATTTATAGATGGTGGATTTTATTCTATCGACCTCGGAACCAGAGAAGTTTCATCGCGCGAACCTGGAGCGAAATGGACACCATTATTCTCTCCTTCGAATTGCGGGACCAAGAGTTATATCACAGTTTCAGGTTGAACTTTTTGAATGTTAAATCTTTAATTTATATTTTAGTTCAGACCACATTTGGAGCCCATGTTTATTTCAACACGCAAGTGCTCGTTGGTCAACGAACGATAAAATACGGGATTATTTCGACACAGGATCTAAAGTAAATTTAAGTATTCATTTATAAAGTTTAACTTTACTTTAGAACTGATTTACTTGATTGGAAATGGCTATATGTTGCTGGGCGGTTGCAAAAGCCGGTCCTCGAAGTAAGTAACCTAAAAGAAGCTCGTGAATTAATTTTATTAAATTGGTTAATTTCACTTTTACCGTTTATTAAAAACGTTGTCAAGTTTAGATTATTTCTCAACGTGACGATATAGCAGGATGGATCAAAGCTAATCGATTAAACGCCTTGAATGCAGCTTTATTGCAACTACATGAAACTTTCTCTCTTCGCGATCTATTTAGAAAAGTAATTTCCCTATTAACTAAAAGGATTGATAACATTTAGATTGTTGAATTATCTTATATGGGAGATTTTCGGATGTTGATCGGTGAAGATAAAAACAAGGTGGCTAAGGTGGGCGTAAATCTTTCACAGATATGTAAGTTGTCAAATTTTAAGATTGTTGATGGAAGCTATGGTGAATTAGCAGAAACGTATCGCTATTTACTGTCGGAAGACAAACGAATAGTAAGTGATTTTTGGTTTGATATGACTGAAAACTTTTAGTTTGTCAAATCTGATGCAGTAATTCAACAGGAGTATAGTCAAAACTCAATTGCCGACCGGTTTTTAGTAACTTTCTCTGCGATTTATTTGAATCTTTTAGGATAAACCATCTACCAGCTAACGTCAAAGGCAGATTGTCGAGTAGTTATCAAAAAGAAGCGCAAGTATTTTATAATGTTTGGTAGATAAAAGGAAATTGTTTAGAGCATTGACCCAAATGATTTGACAAGACAACTTTCGAGTGCAATCGGATCGGTTGTAGCGCCCGTCGCCTTAGTTCAAGTTTTATTATATTTATTTATTTGATTTTCCCATATTTTTAGACTGCCAAGAATGCTGTATCGGCTGGGATTCTTCGATCAATAATTTATTCAATAGCTAAAATGAAGAAAATGTTGAAATCTGTAAGATAGTTTCGTTTGTTGTTGTTAGTTTTAACTAGTGTTTGTATATATGTAATAATTGTTTTATAAACTTTATTGACTTGAAGCCAGACCAAATAACAGAACATCCAATCGACTGTGATTGGACCAATAACAAGTGGAAGATAGTGGGTCTAACTTGGAAGAGAAAAATAGAAATTCAAGCGGGTAACTGCACATTTCAAATAGGTAAAACGAACGGGACCAGCCTTGAGATCAAGAAACAGCTATTTTTAGACAATATTTTACAATTAGTAAGGGAATTGTTTTTAGAAAAGACCCGCCTAGCGATTTTTGGGGATTAATGATTTTCAATGATAAAGAACAAATCTTCATCTTCATTCATAAAATCGAAGCGCTGTGCTAGTGAATAAAGCTGGATGGCATTTCGACGAGCAGCCATCTAAATTGTCATTTATAATAGTTTCATTGTGTTTTTAGATTTTTCGACAGATAAATATAATCAAAGCGAACCCTTGATCCAATAGCTCAGAGAATGACCGGCTTTGTCCGAATATTTATGGGTCAAGCCCGGAGGTTCTAGCTCTCGGTCCCGAAAAGTTTTCGTCTAACCCCCTTTTTGATATAAAAGGTGGAGGGGAGACAACTTATTCTTTCAGAATACACGGACCCTTTGGTGCAGTTGTTCACACTCAAGACGAACGCGTTGTGTCATATTTTCTAATCGGCGATTGAGGTTTTTCATCCGTTCACTCGATTCTTTCTCACTCTTCATCACGATTCTTTTAACCGATTCATCCATACGCTTTGCTGTAATCCTTTTCTTGTTAAGAACATTATTATTTTTCAGCCAAACCTGTGTTTTTCCTGATTCGTCGCTTATGATTGAGAGATTTGTAGATCACATGCACACTTTTCTTCGAAACGCTTCGTTTCTTGCGGAGTTTACGGTGCTTTTTTGGTGAACGTGATCTGTGATTTTAATGGAGGTACTTTTTATTGATAGATCGCATATTTACCTTGATATTGAGCTGTTGCGCGATGAGGATGAAGAAGTTGAAGAAGAGGGAATACTTGGCGTCGAGTCCGAGGTGTCTACGACAAAGACCTCAATTGGTCGGTCGTCGGTTGGTGGAGAGGAGTCGGATGGTGACTCCTCGAATATTGATAATTTAATGAGAATGTTGATATTTAACTTTTAAAGATTACACTATGAATCTCCGTTCATACTCGTCAATTTTTATAAACAAACCTCGGACTCGACAATTGAAATTGCACATAATCTGCTGTGAAAAGTGGTCATCTTGAGAAAAAGAGTACAGTGCTTTGGACGGCCAAAAGGCGTTTCGCGAGTCAACGGTTACCCTGAATTTGCACTGATAGAATTAACAAAAACTTGAACGAATGGCCAAAATTGGTGACTTTCAATAACCGTAAAACAAGCCCTGGCTGCGCTTGATAGCGGCTATTTTCTTCATCATCAAAGGACGAAAAAAAGTTTATTCAACACGTTGCTAACAGATCTCAAATGGGTAATCAAATAAATCGTAGAAGTGATTGAATGATGATTGAAGGCAGTGAAAGAGAACCAAAACAGACCCAGTGTCTCATTCCTTGCTCAAATTTGTATTTAAGCTAAAGAGGCCAACTCTGGGTATAGATGAGAAAATGAGGGAGAAGTATTGAGAAAAAGAAAATCACACAAGATTAACACAGAAATTAATTTTAGAAAGGACTTACAGTTACTCGTGCGTACCTCGTTTAACGCAAACAAGTCAGAGATTTTCGGAAACTTTACAAGATATTGGTTGGGTACTGGAATATCATCTCTGGCTTATTCACTTGTAACCTAAACATTTCCGAAGACATGTTGGTTACTCATTGCGCCAAGTTGTCCCCAAAAAGATCAACTCGCCTCCTCCACCAATAACCGGGGATGGGAGAACCCGGACAGAGGATGGGATCCTTGGATTTTCATCCCCACACAACAATATGTGGGTGATGACGCGACTCGAGAGGCATCGCTCTTCATGAGTGCACTAAAAAGTTTACATAGATTAAAGAAATTAGAACTATAATGAAGACAATTTACTGCCCTTATGCCTATCTAATAAACGGTTCGATTGCCGAGAAATCGCCGCCGAAGAGCTCTGTCTGGGGAAACATCGGATCGTTGGTGGAACGACCGCGAAGGGATTGAGCGGAAGTTGGAGAGGGGAGATTCGAGAATGAAGAGGCCGCTGACTCGTTACATCGTTGACAGAACTGTAAACACTTTTTAAGTTTATCTAACAGTTCTTGGTTTAACTGAAGTCATTGTATCCAGTTACATAGCCTAGGTCAGATACGATATTGCATTAGTTAATCTCAAAACTCTTACTTCAATCGTTGGCCCACAACCGCCCACGTGTAGACACAAACCCACATCAAGGGGAGGGGCATCGGTAGAGGAACTGAAAATATAGTGCTTTGTGGGCTTTCATATTCTGATCTCTTACCTGCACGATTGTCCGGTGACTCGGGCCAAGATTGGGGCAAGTTTTGAGTCGTATTTGATCACTCTTTTCAACATGAGATTCTCGGTAATGATTCTCTCATTTTCTTCCTCAAGCCGTTTGATGATCGAGGCCATTTCTTCAACTTCACCATCTAGTTCCTGAACGTGTTTATTTCGAAATTTTAAACTTTTTTAGGTAAAAAGGGATTTCGAAGGTTTCAAAATCGAACCTAATCGAACCTATTCAAAATAAAAAGCTCAGGCTTACAAAGGGATGGTTTTTGTAGTCGGTTTTTACCTTGCATCGTATCTCAAACTGTTTGGTCTCTTGCTTTTTTGCCTCTCGGTAAGCACGTGCATAGCGAGCCATATTCGTGTTGCTGGTGGTTCGTATTGCGCGTCCACGTTGGCTCTAGAATTTGGATCATGCTTAATGAGATCTTGACTTTGATAATATATGGGTCTAAATTATCTTTTAAAGTTACTTCAGCGGCTTCTGATGGTGTCATACTGAGCGTGCTGCTGGGTCGGCTGTAGGGATCATAGAGAGCTGCGGTTGAGCGGGTATTTCTATAAGAAATCAAATTCTTGGCTGTTTCTATAGGAACTCAAATTCTTGGCTTTTACACCAACCTCATCGGTTCTGAATGATTAGTTTGAGCCTGTCCCTGTTGATGTTGATGAGCCATTTGTTGTTGATAGTGCCTTCTTGACTCCATGTAAGCTGTAACTTTATTTTTTCCACTAAAATTTATTTTTCATTTGTACTTGTGATCGAATTTTTCTCATCGAGCGGCCCGTCCATATTCACATAACCTTGGTGACCCATAAATGTGTAGCCCAAGAAAATTTCTGAAACAAGCAACGATTTTATAAAGTTTAATTTGAAAAATTAAAGGAAAATTTTTCGTTTTGTGGTTTTTCTGTCCACATTTTTCATTTCCGACCTTATTTCGAAGTTTTGCGCAATTCGCGCTCCGAGTGTTTTTTAAATAGGGTATGGTAGAAAATTCGAGTTGGCAAAGCGCCAAAAGACGTTTTAACGCAAAACCAATGAGTTTTCTCATGTCATGTCTGACGTGATTACGTTTAACTTGACAACTTGACGTTTATACCTGAAAATTGGTTTCATTTTGTTAAACCATGGTAGCCCTACCGTAATCGTTGGCTCACCATATAAAACAAACATTTTTCGAGCTTCTCATTCACATTCACAATTTTTTTTCCCCAGACAGACGCTTACGTTCTAAAATCATTGCGATTTAACATTGTTCATCAAAAATTATTATTTTCCAAACGATCGATGTGAGCTTTTTTGCTTATTTTGTTGCATTCAGCGTTACCTTTGCGTTTCATTCGTTCCACCATGCAATATTTCTAATTTTCAGGACCCGAAGGCTCAAAAAGCCTTCTCATCTCGCAATTGGACCATCATCAGAATTGAATCGTCGCAAAAAGCCAAGTGCGACGGCATCGGCTACTTGGAGACAGTTAGCTCCACCTGATTCGTCCTCGGTTTGGTGTTTTTCCTCCAGCATATTAACTTTTTTGTTTTAGGCACAAGGCGAGGAAGATCAATCAGTAATTTCAATTGAAGGTAAGCGTTTGTACTTGATTTAGTAATCCTATTTTACTTTTTAGAATCTGAAGTTGAAGGCGAAGACATGAGCTCAAGCGAAGAAGTATCCTGGATCACGTGGTTTTGCGGTTTGCGGGGCAATGAATTCTTTTGCGAGGTTGGTTTCTATCTGATAAAAGTAGTTTCAAAGTTGAATGGATCTAGCATTTACTAATCACGACTTTTAAACCTTTTATCTTCTATCTTTACCAATGAGTGGTTTTAGGTTGATGAGGAGTACATCCAGGATCGTTTCAACCTCACTGGTCTCAACGAACAGGTGCCGAAGTATCGTCAAGCTCTTGACATGATTTTGGATCTCGAGCCAGAAGATGACATGGAAGACAATCCAACCAACTCTGACCTCGTCGAACAAGCTGCTGAAATGTTGTACGGACTCATTCATGCTCGCTACATCTTGACAAACCGTGGGATTAGTCAGGTAGATTGCTTTTAACAACTTCTCAGGGGTCTACACTTGTTAAGATAGATAAAGTAAAGACTAAAACGAAAGTTAACTTTTGTCTATAACCTTTTTTAATTTAGATGGTGGACAAGTGGCGTGATCACGACTTTGGGACTTGTCCTCGTGTCTACTGTGAGAATCAGGCCATGCTTCCGATTGGACTCTCTGATGTGCCCGGCGAATCAATGGTGAAACTCTACTGTCCTCGTTGCTGCGATGTTTATGTTCCAAAGTCGAGCAAGCATCAACACACTGATGGTTGGTTTAAAATGGGCAACTTTTATTTTATAATTCCTTTAGGTTCGTATTTTGGTACCGGCTTTCCACATATGTTGTTCTTCGTTCATCCAGAATTGCGCCCTCGCAAACCATCGAATGCTTTTGTGCCAAGGTGCGTTGTTTATGAGTCACTTATGAAATGTTTTATCATGAATACTTTAGGCTCTATGGATTCAAAATCCACCCGCTTGCCTACAATCTTCAATATCAACAGGCTCCAAACGGACCTGCCGTCGTGCCGAGTGGACAGCCGGGGGAAGTGAATGCATCTGGTGGCCAACCGCAACGACAATTCGCCGCACAGCAGTAGGCCTTCTCAACCGTTTACAAGATCCAGGTAGAATTTGCTTACCTAGGTAATAATTATTTTTATAACACTAATAAAGCACACTGAAAATTGTAATCGCTAAATAGTATATTTTCTTTCTTTCAGAGGAGATGAACCGTTGGGAGGTATCAGCATCGATCGTACTGCTATCCTGGGCCGCCTGTGCGCTGTGGCTGGTGCTCTTCAAACTTTAACTTGATGCTTCGCAGTGTGTTTGTCTTTTCGTCTTATTTTGTTTGTAATTTTCTTTGCCGGTTTTATTTCAGTGCCCATTTTAATCACACTTCATTCATTTGTAAGTCTTGTCCGTTATTTCTGTTTTGGTTTTTCAGTGTGACCTTTTCGTGTTCTATGGCCGCTTTGAGAGTAACTCACGCGCTTTTCGAAAGTTCTCTTATTTTCACTGGTCTCTGTGATTTTCCAAAATGGTTAGTTTTATGGTAGGGCGTTTGGAATTTTTATTGTTCCTCCATAACATTATCATTTGTTCTTGTTCACGATGAGTTGAATAAAGTGTTTTTCAGGGGTTGCAAATGCATTGTAGTGGACTAACAAAACACCTATGGGCAGTAGAAGATCTCCGAAATGAACACTTTGCCAATAGATCCGAGTCGTTTGAATTTTCCTCAAGAAAATGAGAAACTTGCTAAGGCAACAATGACTGAAAAGAGAGTCCATGTGGCGGTTGGAGGAGATAAAGATCTGCGTCTTGGCGACTTAAAATGGACCTCCTTGGTACATTCAGTTTTCTGACCAAGCTGGCATTTCTCCCTATTGCTTCCTTTTTCATTGAAACAAAGCCTCTGGATCGCTAAACTCTTAATTCCAACAAGTCACTTTGATTATTGGTTGTGCTTTCTACTCAAGCTCTAAATTATTCTATTGCTTCGAACTAGTAATGCACCACTAATACCTTGGATTTTATTGAAATGAAACGATCATTGATTCGTTGGGCCCTTTTTTTGAAAGGAAAAGCATGGCAAACGGTCCGGTGAGTGCAAAAATTGTGTAGCCTGTATGAGTGATCGATAGTGAGGTAGTTCTAGTGAGAAGTGTCCAGTCAGAAGCTAACTCAAGACACGAATATCCGAATTTTAGATACATTCCGGTCGTTCTCATTGTCTTAATGTTTGTCATCTTTTTCATCGGACCTTTAATTACTAGGTATTTTCGAATCATCGATTCATTTAACGGACTTTAGTAAAAGTTTAATCTTTCGAATTCAACGAGGAACACAAGATGAAATTGTCTATGATTTGTTTTTGATCTCTTCGTATTATTATCCGAATTCGACCAGGTATGAAAAAAAAAGATAATCTAGCTTTAAAGGAGTTAGAAAACTTGGGCAAATCTGGAAATCAAGTATCAAAACCATTTTACGTAGCAGTTTGGTGAAACTCTTTAGCACATGATCTTCTTTGATCTGGTACAAGAGAAGAATTAGGTAATCTTGTACAGTAATCTTCTATAAAATAACTACGATATCTCTCACAACAAATACCTATGTTGATTAGCTATTTCACTCTAAAGCACTCTTAGCACTCTTAGCAACTCTAAACTTCTTTTTCTATCGTTTTCCAGATCTTAATGTGCTATAATTTCTCTTCTACCGATAGACCCTTTCAGTCATCCTGTATTTAATGTCTGTCTGTCTGTAGATGGAACTTATTTCAGAGGAAAAGAGTTCAAGGAAGTTCTCGAACTTTCCATACACAATGAGGAAGTTTTAAGAATTTCTTTTTTCAAACTTACGATCAGATTTTGAGATCCAGTCTTTCTTAAGAACTAGACACATTAGTTCCACAAAGAACTTATCAAGATAAAACTTTCAAAAGTCAAAACAGAAGGGGGTTTCAGTTTGGGCGACAATGCGGTGAGTTTATTGTTGACCGGAAACTATGAAGCGATCAAAATGGGAGGATTGAGAATTATTGCATGGAATGACACAGCGAATGCAATAATTTCTCTACCGTTAGCAAGGTAAGGAAAGCGGAATCTGTGAGGAAAATGGCTTACAAGAGAATGGTTCAAACGGAAGGGCAACAACTTAAAAAACAACTTCTACTTATATCTTTAACAAAAAGATTCGGATCAGAATTGAACCCGAGAGCAAAAAGCCGCTGCGCTGGCACACTACCCACTAGGCCATTGGGCCACATTTTGCCGACCGCAATAAAGACCTCTTAACCTCCAGGAGCCATTTTCCGAATAGATGCTCAAATTTTAAACGTGTTTTCCTCGAGAGTGCGGGCTCGTTGACAAAAACTAAATACAGTATTGGATTCCTCGTTGCTAAATGGTGTTTGCATCTTCTTGCCATCAAAATCTCATACCTTCCGTTTTAACCATTCCCTTATTACGACAAAGAATGTTTCATTCAAAAGCTTGAAGAAGTTTTCTCTTATTTCAGAATCACTCCACATAATGTGTGTCATTGGATTTCGATGAAAGCCCTTGGCACCACTTTGCCCAATATGACCAATATGGTTTTTTCATTCTCATTTTTGTTTTTACTTTTATTTAGGCTCTCATTCTTGGTGGACGATATCAAAATGTGAGTGTGATGATGAAAATTCCAATCCTGTTTTAAATCTCGAAACTTATACAGTAAATTCTTTTCAGATTCCATATCGTTTACCGGAATACCGTAAATATGATGTGGTTACATGTGTGGCTCCACTCTTCGCAAACGAACAATGGCAATACGCACTTTTTGCCGCTCATACATACAAAAGGTTGGAGTAAGGGAGATCGAGTGCGTTGTGGTGTTGTTGTTGTTTGTTTGTTAGCAACCATTGTTAGCACATTTGCTCGCTAAGCGAAAGGTCGCGGATTCGAGTCCCGGCGAGTTTTTGAGTTGCCCTATTTCCAACTCTCCCAATAAAACACATGTTTAGATTCGGAGCATTTATGCATTTGTATGTGCGAAGTATGGTGACACCGATGTTGGAGATGTTAAAGGTAATGAGAAAATAGACAAACTTTCAAATTTTTATTGATAGATCTACGAAAAAGAGGGATATTTGAGGATACAACCTTGGATGAGAATCAACTTGCAAACGGTTTGCTGACAACAATGTTAAAGGTCCACAATGAATACCCTTTACAGATCGACGAGGATTTGTTCAATCCAAACATCAACATCGAATTTCGAAATCAAGCAGCCGCTCAAACGGATTGTCTTTTACAATACAAGGTGATTACCAGACTGATTTTGATCTTACTACAGAACAGACCTGGTTAACGAGTCCGGACAAAATTTTCGGACAGTCTGCTTCGCTCTTCGATTTTTTACTGCCCAAACCTTCTTCGAGCATGAAACCCAGTTCCCCCGCCAGCCCTTATTTGAGGCTTCATTTTGATACTAAACATGGCTAGGTTCTGTTTTGCCATTCTTTAGATTTCGATCAATCTTTCGCCGGACTCGATAAGCTTAACAAGACAAGAAAATTTTTCTGGATCGAAATCTAAAGAATGGCAAAACAAAACCTAGCCATGTTTAGTATCAAAATGAAGCCTCAAATAAGGGCTGGCGGGGGAACTGGGTTTCATGCGCGAAGAAGGTTTGGGCAGTAAAAAATCGAAGAGCGAAGCAGACTGTCCGAAAATTTTGCCCGGCTCGTTAAGCAGGTCTACTACAGAAGAATTGTGATAGTCTATCTTGTTAGGCTGTCCAGAAAGTCTTTTCGTTCCTTTTCGTACTTTCGTTTAAAACCAACAAATGCACCAATTGAACCACAATTCTTCAAAGCCAATTCTCTTTTCAGGAATCGGCATCGTACATCTCGTTTATGGATTTAGACGATATTTTGATTCCACGGATTGGAAAAACGTATTTGGGTGAGAGTTGAAAGATATTCAGTATAGAAATTTAATATAGATGAGTACAATTATTTCTTCACCGTTTTACCACAAGCTGCCTATATTCACTACAGTAAGGAAAACGTGGCGGTGAAAGGACGTAAGTTTCAAATGCATGTATAAACTCTACTTATTTATCAATATCCAGAGCGTTCCCCGGAAAAATTTTCTCTCGCTCAAATGTATTCATCCATCTACTTTAAGCAGGTTTTCGAAAGACAACTCAAATATGATAATCAATTCAAAATAAGGTGAACGAGACGGGGAAATTTGTGACGAGACCCCATTTGATCAATGCAACGTGGATTCATTGGCCGACACATATTCAAAGGAATATGCAAAGGTGCTAATGAAATTAATAATAAGTAATAAGTAGTAAGTAGTAATAAGTATTGGGTTGGTGAATTGGACATTGACTTTGACAAATTGGACATTGGCTTTGACAAATTGGACATTGACTTCTCCTCAAATCAAGGCTAATCTCAATCTATTGGGTTGGTGAATTGAAAACTGCCGGCTATGGTCGTATGTGACAGTTTGAGCACTTTCTTAAAAAGAAACCCATTTTGGTGTCAATGAAAAAGTTGTAGAGAATCAAAAATGAAGCTTATATCTGAATTTTCAGAACGATTCAAAAACTGGTTTCCAAGAAATGCCAAATTTACGATTTTTCACAAAACTTGCATTTCAAGCGAAACTACTAAGTTTATCTTTTTGGAAATTTGGCTATAAGCCTAATTTTTGATTCTCTACAACTTTTCTATTGACACCAAAATGGGTTTCTGTTGAAGAAAGTGCTCAAACTGGGAGTCCTTCTCCAGTCTTCAGTCCTCCATTTTTGAGTCTCACACTTGTCTCACACACAAACCAAAATCCTACTACGAAAGAGGAATCCGCAAATTGCCTGTAAAATGGGCAGAAATCGTCAATAATAATGGAAATTATTTGGAATGAATTGATGGTTTTATGTTGAATAAATTTTAGTTCAAAGTCCCGCAGTTTTCAATTCACCAACCTAGTAATAATAAGTAAAGTAATAAGCTGCCAAACGGTAATAAGCCTTTCAGTCAATCAAAACAAATTTAGCTATGTGATTCCACCTAATTTGAACGCAATCACTCACCTCAAATTAATGGACGATGATACGAGTCCGGCTGACAGGAATATGGTAAGTACAAGGTGTCCCAAAATTATGGCGCGGAATAAAAGCCGCTAGCAAATGTCTAACTTATTTTAAAAGTAAAAGTGATAAGTGTTATATAGAGATTTGAAGTCCTAATTCTTGGCTACATTTATCTACTAAAAGCTTCCGAAGTGGATGCATACAACTCATTTAACAAGCTATCAAATGAGCTCAACGCGGCATCCCTCCCTCACGCTGCCATTTTTGACGATTTTCTTTATAAACAATTTTTGCTCAAAAGGGCTTCCGCAAAACAATTTTGTATTATTCATGTTCAAAAAATAAGTTCAATAAACTTATAAAGCTGGAGCAGCACATACATCAAAATCTGAATGCAAATTTTGAACATTAAAAACGCTCAATTTTCGTTTTTTTCCTTAAACTTCGAAAGAAACTTAAAATCAAATTGGATTTTGGTTAGGAAAGTTTGAAAAAAACCATTTGAATGTTATTCTTATTGTTATTAAATGATAATAAATGTTACATTTTAATGAAATAAATAACAAAAAAGCTCTTTTCAAAAATGGCAGCGTGCGGGAGGGAGGACGCGTTGAGCTCATTCGATAGCTTGTTAAATGAGTTGTATGCATCCATTTCGGAAGCTTTTAGTAGATAAATGTAGCCAAGAATTAGGACTTCAAATCTCAATATAACACTTACCACTTTTAAAATAAGTTAGACATTTGATAGCGGCTTTTGAAACCAAATCTGCTCCATAATTTTTGGGAAACTGCGTATTATATATTTGATAACCGAATTTGTATATTCGGTTATCAAATATATCTACAGTACCCTTTTCAGATCAGAGAACCTCTCTTTGAGCCGAAAATCTATTTCGAGAATGAAGTTGTCTTCACGAACTCCACCGAACGAAAACCATTACTGTACAGAAGAGATATTGCATGGATTCAAGTAAATTTTAACAGTATTCAGTTAAAAATAACATTTCAGGAAGACTTAGAGAGAATGTTGAGGATTCCGGAAGTGAAGGCTCTTTTCGCTTTGTTGCCAAAAGATTTATTCTATTTCAATATCATTCTCAAGTGTTTCAATGATACATATTATCAGTTAGTTTATAAAATCGCCTTATAATCTAAAGTTTTTCTATAGATATCATTATTCGGGTCAAATGAATAAGATCACATGTCCGGGACCGGAACGGTGTCATGTAAGTTATTGCAATTCGCACTCAAACAAGAAATCAAGAAGGAACGAAAAGACTTATTCACTAACCTAATATGTAAAAGTTGCTAAAAGGGATTCTTTGTTAAAAGGATTCTTTGTTAAAAAGATTCTTTGTTAAAAAGATTCTTTGTGAACAGGATTCTTTGTTAAAAGGATTCGTTGTTCTTCATCTCTATTCAAATTTCAGTTTCCCGCTAATCCGGGTATCAACTGTTCAAACTCTGATGGAGATTATCTCTCAACAAGTGACAACAAATTGGTCAACATTCATTTTGTCACTCAACAACATTTTCGAGTCGAGGACGGGTGTAAACCATAAAAATTTAGTCGATTTTCCAACTTTCACAATTTTGCCCCCACTAGCACAATACGAACCAATTTTCAATAAAAGTTTATTCTCATGTTGAAGCATCAAATCTGTACTTGCAAGTTATCTAAAGAAAGTTTAGGGAAATATTTGTTCATCTTTCATCTAGATTTTACAACCGTTGTTCTTCTGGTGATACGGTGCCCAAAAGACTGATCTGAAGCATTCGACGGAGGCTTTCGATTTCCTAAAGTTGTATGGTGATATTGTTAAAAGCTTCATATGTTAGTGCTTGAAAGTTAAATGAATGTTTACTATGAATTTTACTTGCTGAATGTTTACTATGAAAACTTACTTTGTGTAAATTCACATTTTCATCTCTCAACGACTCATTCTCGTCTTTCATCTCACCGAGCTCGAGATTCAGCTGGAAACTTTGAAGATTGAAGTTTAAATTTGGTACTAAATGCTAATCCAATGAAAACAGCCTTCCAACGTACCCTTTCCATTTCTAAAGACTGCCGATTCTTCGCATTTCGAAGGTTCTCTTCGTTACACCGTTTCAATTCGTCTACCTGTAATTTTTACCTGCTTCTACCTGCTTTTAAAACAAAAGTCTATCCATTACTGCAATATTTTTCAATCCATTTCCAAAACGAACTTCTTCATGAGCTAAATTGGCTCCTTGTTCAGCTTCGGAACATTTCAAACGAGCATCCGATAGTTCACTCTCCAATGTGGCCACTTTGTTCTCCAAAGATAGACATTTTCTAGAAAGATTTTTTAGAAAGATCTTTTTGGAGGCTATAACCCAGATGTATCCATTTATTCATAATTCACTCACTCTCTTTCCAAGAAATGAGCAATATTGCGCTGGTGCTGATGAGTTAAAGGATCGGCACACCACTGAACATGAATAATTTAACTGAATTTAACATGAATAATTATAGTGGCTTAATAAAGTTTATGATGAAAAACATCTAAATAGACATCATAAAGTCATACCGTTTCATTAGTTTGAACAATTTTGTGTTGTCTGGATGGGACGGCTTCAACTTGAGCGTCGATCGATTCAAGGGGTTCCACCACAATTTCTGGCTAAATTGTTAGGTAATAAGTAAAGTAATAAGCTTATAAATATTTAAGTATTGAGGATTTAAGTATTAGAAGCTGATTCCTGCCTGCTATGTCATTTTTATATATAATGATGATATGTGTTAACACCCGAAATGGAACACCTATTCCGAACAGAACGTCCAAAACAGAACGAAACTTTTTGCTTAGTTCCGGACGCTGAACCGGACGTTTGTTCCGTTTCAGATGTAACATATACACATTAGTCATTAATGCTTATTGCTCACCAAATTAGCGGCCGCGTTTTGTGTGTGCTTTTTGTGTAGCGCTCCCCTTAATCGTTGCACTTCGGTCTCAATTGTGCGGTTTTCACCCGAGATTTGCTCGTTTCTTTCCTGCAATATTTTAGGAGATCTATCTAACAATTAGCCTAATAAGACATGAAAATGCTTTCATGTCTTATTAGGCTGTCCAGAAAGTCTTTTCATTAATTTTCGTACTTCCGTTTAAAACCAACAAATGCACCAATTGAACTACGGTTTGTTTCATTAGAAAGAAAAAATAATTGGCCTTTCTAATGAAACAAACCGTAGTTCAATTGGTACGTTTGTTGGTTTTAAACGGAAGTACAAAAAGGAATGAAAAGGCTTTCTGGAAAGCCTAATACATTAGCCGATTCCAGTGCTTCTCTCAATGCTTGTCCCTCTTCTCGAGCACGATTTCGCTCATCACGCACAGTTGCCCATTTTTCTCGCCAAGAAGCTAAAAATGGAAGCTATAACACTGTGCTTACAAAGCTTTTGAACTAATGCTTTATCGCTTACCCGTGCATTCACTCCACCACCGCATCGTTGTCTCCATTTGAGCTGCTCGGTCTCGTGCCTGAAAATTGAAACATTTTCGATGATCCATATTCAACATAATTGAATTTTATGAAATCAAAGATTGATTAAATCTTTTGCTACAAGACTTTTGCTTTTGCTTAAATCAAGACGAACTTCTTTCAATTCTTGTAATCGCAGACTTTCACAGAGTTCCCAATCTGTGTGTTGACATCGAGTCATCGCTGTTGGTCGGGTAAAAAGCGAAATGTTATCTAAAAATGTGCACGCTAGCAATCAATGATAAATCTTTTCGATTTCATAATCTTGCTAGCTCCAATCTTTACCGGCCAATCCCTGATAACGATTGTGAAAAGCTGTCGAAGGAGAGTCGGCCATTTTCTATGTAATACAACAAAAATATCTAAAGGTAAGTTTTTGATTTAAATGTAAGATTTGGAAAACATTCGTACAAAATGTGACAGGTATGTAATTGAAAAGAGAGAAGGAAGGGGACACATTGGGGTGGTCAGATGAGAAAAGAGAAGGAGATTGGAACAAGATGGAGGGGAAAAGAGGGACACCTGACATATCTATGGAAAGGGAAAAGAAAATGGGAATAGAGAATCCTTTGTGGTTATCGATGGATAAATTGAGAGGAAATGGGAAGAAAGAGACTCACAAATGGTGAGTTGTTGTAATGGAAAACTACGCACAAAACAAAATATATCTGCTGGACTTTTGTGGGTAAAGAAACAACCGCCAAGAAGTTAAACCTGCTTAAAGAGAGGCTGCTAGTGGCACTGGCAAGCGAATTTGAATCGGTTACGGTAGAAAATGGAGGTAGTTGTCGAAAGTGAAAGAAGGAAGAAATTGGAAGGAATTCTCCCGTTAAATACCCAAATTCCGACGCTCTTTGATGGACGTTCTACCGTACACTTCGTCTTTCCAGACGTTTTCGCGCCAAACGTCGGAACTACCGTAACCCGACACCATAAAAGGTCCCCGCCAGGAAGAATTCTTCAGTTTGTTTTGTTGCCGAGTTGCAGTGTTGCCAGGATAGAATCGTCAGCGATCGTCAGACTAGCCGGAGTAGTCATGGACTACAGGTTGTCAGGAGGTTATCGCAAGACAACGGAAGTGCAGGGTGTCGATCGGGATGGACGTGTCGCTGAATCAACTCGATGCCGCCACTCGTGGCAAAGCAGCCAGGATTAGCTGCACCATCGACCGAGCCCGTTACGAGGAAGGTGATGAGCCAACTGCGGCGAGCCAGCCGAGCGAACCGAAAGCGGAATCACGCCTAACCGAAGGATGGATTGTGGAGTCGATCAGACAGGATTATTACTGTGGTTTCGTGTGGTTTTGCTCCATTCTTTATTGTAATAAGCCTACACTTATCCCGACACAAAAACACTGTAACCTACTCGTTCTATAAACCACCGAACCATTTGGTGCGCTTTTGTTACTCTATCCTCAACACCAGTTTTAAGTATGAGGTGAAACAAGCCAAAATATATCCGACGTACGTGGATTTAGCACTTTTTTGAAGCCTATTGAGCTGAAAATTTGCAATCAGTGGTTTTCGTGGATGAGGATGAGGAATTCAAATCGGAAATTAAAGTTGCTCAAAAAATTAATGACAGATTCAGATCCTCCAGAATTGAACACGAAAATGTTGATTGCCATTTTTGTATGTTTAAACAATCCAAAAACATGTCATGAACAAATGCCGAGGGACTCTTATCGGTATCAATGCGATCTACCATCTTTCCCCACACCGATATCCAAAGCACCATCATCCAAATCGAATGATAAAGCTTTAAATTGTACATAGAAATTGAAGGTAATTGTGTATTAACGGCGGTGAAAAACTGTTAAGTATTAGGCTGTCCAGAAAGTCTTTTCGTTTCTTTTCATATTTCTGTTGAAAAGTAAAAATAACAAATTCATCAATTAATCTATGGTTTGCTCTATTTGATTATTTATTTGACTCGCTAGTTTTTGTTAGCTAACAGTTTTAATCATTTTAAGTCAAATATAGAAACCGGTAACGAGTTTCTATCTGGCAAGATCACTTGATACTATTGAAGTGACTCATTTCTTCGTGAACCATTCTTTTCAGTATGCACAGCTTATTCCCGATTATTCCTATTGATCTTAAGGAAATCGTTCTTGAGAAACTTGATAATGCCGAGGGACTCGTATCGGTACCAATGCGATCTACCATCTTTCCCCACACCGATATCCAAAGCACCATCATCCAAATCAAATTCTTTACTGAAATGTTTGCAATTTAATCGAAAACTGCTATTATGAAAGCGTTATTCGGCAAGGATCTTCAAATGATTACGATATGATGATTACGATCTTCAAATGATCACGATAAAGAGGGAAAATCTGAATAGTGATTTTAATGTTATCAAAAAAAGAGTTCCCATATTTTTATAACCTTCACCAAACCTTCATTTCATTTTCAGATACTCCTCAAATTGGCACGAGTTTCCCCTTTATCCGCATTGAAATCGAAACGTGTCACAAATTTCGTATCAATCACAACTTCTACCACAATTCAATCGAAATCGGCGACATTTTTCCAAAACTCAAATTTGTCCAAGACTTCCTCACTCGATTTACAAGGATTTGAATGTCTTTCCACTAAATTTCCATCTTCAAATCATTCAGAAAGCTCAATTTCATATAAAGACAAGCGTTTTTCAAAAAGAACTCTTACTATTAGAGTTCCCTAACTAACCATCTAACTCACGCAAAACATTTGAGCTTCTGGAATTTCAATCTTTACTCGTTGCTTGAGGGAAATGATTAAAAAGTCATATTTGAGACTAAATGTACTGACCAACGAATAATGTAATGAATTTAGTGTTTTGAAATGTTCAAAATGTTCAAGACAATCTCGATATTTAATCATGGAATCCCCACGATTTCCGGAATCTTCATGGAAGTTGAAGGAAAACTTTAGAAATCTGGACATGGACTCTCAACAAAACAAACAACAACAAACAAACAACAACAAACAAACAACAACAAAATAAACAACAACAAAATAAACAACAACAAAACAAACAACAACAACAAAACAAACAACAACAAACTATTATCTTTTGAATCGATTACAAAAGTCAGTGAAAATTTCGATGAATTCTTTCAGAAATATATCGATATTGAAGAACTTTGTGTGCACGACTCGATAACTTATAGAAATCTTATAGAAATAGCAGAAAATCTCCGATGAGAAAACTCGAAAACTCTTCGTTTCAAGCTTTCGGCGAATACAGGAAGAAATGGAAAGAAAAATGGACACTTTCGAATTTTTGTAAAGTCATAGTCATATTAAAAAAGGCATATTAAAGTCATATTAATGTTAGATTGATTTTCTTTTTGTAAATAACACTTTTGTGCACATCCTTTCCAGTCCTTTCAACATTCTGATTTCTCTTTTTTCCGCCGCTAATTGGGAAATTGGATGGAAATTGTGTGAGTGGTAGAAGTGAGAAAATACTGACAACCAAAAGAGACAGAAGAGCACAAAGTTAATGGTTTGTTTGAATGACTTTTTGATATGTTAAGTAGAACATATCAATGAAGATGTGGTGTTTTTGAGTCTCTTATCTCACAAACATATTCTTCAGCCAATTTCTTTAAAAATCTCCATTCACATTTCTTATCCAGAACTATAAAAGACGAAAAAAATTCAAAAAGACTTTTTCAAAAGAATCTTTTAAAAATCTCTTGTAAAACAAAGCATTTATTGGAAAGTACAGTACCGGACAATGAAATATCATATTTGAAAAACGATTGTCACTTTCGCGCGTCTGTAACTCTCTTGTCTTTGAGTTTGAACTATTAGTGTTATACATTTTCTGAAAGCTCTTTTCAAGGGCTACACAATGGTAATATTAATATTTAGAAATACGGTTCCAATACGGTTCTTTTTTTGATCTAATACGGCTCTAATACGGTTCTAATACGGTTCAAATACGGTTCTTTTTTTGATCTAATACGGTTCCAATACGGTTCTTTTTTTGATCTAATACGTTTCCCATACGGTTCCAATACGGTTCCAATACGGTTCCTATACGGTTACAGACGCGCGAAAGTAACGACCTTTTTTCAAATATGATATTTCATTGTCCAGTAGTGTACCTTGAGGAAACTGTAACTTTTTGAAAAGATTCTATCAAAGCTTAGATTTTTTCAATAAAAAAACAAAATTGACACGATCTACAAATCTTTTTCGTGAGATGTAACGTGGGGGAGAAGGGAAAACAATGGGGAAGGGGGAGACGTGTTGCGTTTTTCATGGGAATTCTTCTGATACAAAGAAAAATATTCTATAAAAATACTTATAGGCTATCCTTCCCGCAATACTACTTACTTTTAAAGTCTCTTGCCTAGTCTAGTTCTTAGCCATTCTTAGCCATTCTTAGCCATTCCCTGCTTTCAGGTGAAGATCAAAATCGCGGAAGTATAACCAAAAATATAACCTTTTTAGAAAAACTTATGAGAGTTATGAATTGTTTTTGTTTTTAAAAAGGTTAGCAGCCATTTAATAATATAATATTTAAAATTAGAGCTCTTTAGAGTTAAAAGCTAGAGAATTTAGAGTTCAAGTGCTTGAAATTCAATTGCTCTAAAGGTAGAAAAAGTTTTAATCTTGTTTAATTGATTTGAATTGATTTGAATTGATTTGTCTAATTGATTTGAAGTTGATTTAAAGTTAATTTTTGCCTATTCAATCAAGTTTTTTAATACTTAAATCAAATTGATTCTCTCAGATTCTTCAAAATAAAATTTGTCGAGAATTTCAAATTCCAAAACGCCGTCAAACTTTCTCTTTTCTCCAAAAAGTCCCCTCCAATTCCCATTTCAATTATCAGGTCACAGTGGTGTGCCAAGAAAACGAAAATTCTCCATTTTTTTTCTCCAAAAATCGGAAACTAACGTAGTTCTCTAGGGATTTACAAGTATTCAGAGAGAAATCACAAGATTTCCCCAGCTCTTTCCAACGGTGGATGAGCGACAAACGCCGCCCACTTTTCAAGGATTACTGTAGTCTTTCCCCTCTTGGGGAGAACCCCCATTTGACTGAATATCTTATTTTTATTCAAATCTTTAGTGAACATCTTCAAGTAAATATCTTTCGATGATGGATCATCATGATTTGAGCAGTGTTCCCCAATTGCATACAATGATGAGAGCTGTTGGACCGACTCCAGGTATCCCTCCACCTCTCCACATTGCACTAATCTTATAATTCTATTACCGTAATTTGCAATTATCAATTATTCAATTGACAATAATGCTCTCCTTTGCCCCTTTGCCTTTTTTTTTCAAAATTGGAAAATGAGCGGATCTTTCGGGTGTAATTCGCGTGTGAGGAGATTTGTTGACACAAAATTGAGACATAATGAAATTTGTGATAAATGAGAAATGAAGGAATGGGATAGAGAATAGAGAAAACGATTTACACTGTAAAGATTGTTGAAATAAGAATTGTAGTTATTCTTTCTGTTTGTTACGATCTTTATATGCTAGACTACAGTGAGATAAGGCTTTGAAGACTCGTCTAGTTAACTACCAGACAAGTCTTCAAGACTAGTTAACTTCCTCTTGAGTAATCAAGTGTGTTTTGGTGCAATGGTTAGCACATTTGCTTCTATAAGCGAAAGGTCGCGGATTCGAGTCCCGGCGGTGCACAACTTTTTGATTTGCCCTGGTTCCAACTGGCTTCTCAAAATTCAGCTAACGTAAGCCAACCTTACTATGCAGTTTTTTCGACACAATCTCAACACACGGTCATATTCTTACCTCAATTTTTCAGCAATCCTCTCTCCATATCCTGATCTAACCAATCTGAATTGTCCACCACCTGCATTAACCCCACTTCTTCCTCATTCACAAGAACCGCCACCACATTCGACACATACAACGATCAAAAGTGAAGGATCAAGAAGACGGGAAAAGGTGAGGCTAATATGGAGCCTATGGAGCTGCATTTCAATTGGATACTTTATTTGATATCTAGGATCCGAAAAAGCAACGCCGAAATCGGACCACTTTTACAACGTTTCAACTTCATGAACTTGAACAAGCTTTTGAAAAGGTTTGTAGTAGGATTTGCATTTTGCAACATTTTAATCATTATTATTCTTTTCAGTGTCATTACCCAGATGTGTACGCCCGTGAAACACTGGCCAACAAAGTGAAACTACCCGAGGTTCGAGTACAGGTAGGGAAATCTCGGATCAGACCGCAATCAATCAGATTTAAGGCCTTTTCAAGATCTTGTTTAACTTTTCATAAATCATAGAATTCATCATTTTTATTTTTCTTCTTGTTCTTCCCATGACATTGTGAGTAAAATCGCAACAATTCCATGATCTCCTTGACAACCTCGATTTCTTTCGTGAGATTTCTTTCCTTGTCTCGACGTTGAGCTCTCATGGGAAAATCTTGTTCTATCTTTTGGTAACATAGTTGCATATCTTTTTCTTCTTCAAACTCTCTAATGAGCTCTAAACTATAGACTGAAGGGGAATAGAGTGAAGGTGTAGGTTGGGGAAAGGATATTAGGCTGACCAGAAAGTTCGTTATATTAGACTTGTCCGTTATTAGGCTTCTTTTAGGTATGTCCGTTATTAGGCTTTCTTTAGGCTTCCTTAAACCAATAAATGCGCCAATTAAACTACGGGTATATTCAAATTTTTAAAGCCATCTTCTTTCCATTTGTTTCACTCAAATAATTGTTATCCCTTCAACTGCGTAACCTCGAAAAACACGACATAGTTGGCTTAGAGAAAGAAAAGAGGATTACCGTAATCCTTTGATGTTATCTCGTCGATTGAATAGAATTATGGAGGGAAAAGGGGTGAGCGGATGACTCAAATTCCACAGTATGTGTCCATTCTCCCCTAAACAATGCACAACCATTACCGGATTATCGCGCCTTTCCCCGATCCACAAATTTTAGAACTCGGAGGTGAAATAGTGAAAAGAAAAGGTACAATATTAACTTAGACGGGGTTTTATTCTTTAAAATGCTCTTAATTTCAATGTTTACTACAGTACAGTATCTAGCAAACATTTAAATTAATAGCATTTTAAAGCAATTACAGTAACTACGATTGAAAAACTCAAATGAGATTAAATTAGGGGCTTGGTACGTCAAAATGTTAGGTTTTTTGCTTACAGTTTTAAGTGCATTTGCCCAGATTGTCGAAAAACGAGAAGCCAATTGGCTAAAGCTGAAAAGAGGGAAGATTTGTGAATGGATGGACAGTAACATAGCAATTAGGTGATTCCTTTCCGATTGCTTCTTCGCTGCTTGGCTTTTCCAGAAAAAGGAAAGAGAGCACGAAATTTGACTCTCGACCATTTCACTGCCCATCAATGTCTATCAAGAGATGGAAAAGGCTTTAGTCTGAAAGATTCTTCGCCTCTTTTGCCTTCAATGACTATGGCAATTAGCCCTGATGGCCATCATTGGTCACAACAAGGATTACAAAGAGTTCTTTATTGAGAAATGTGTACGTTGAAAAGCGTTTGATGACATAAAACGTTTGATGACAAACCTTTGATGAAAACGTTTGATGAAAACGTTAAAGAAAATCAAGTTTGGTTTCAAGTTTGATTCCAGGTTTGGTTCCAAAATCGACGAGCAAAATGGCGACGACAGGAGAAAATGGAAAGTGGAGGAGTTGCTGAGCTGCCGCCCGTTCGACCAGCCAATATTCCATCTTGGTTGGTTTTAAAAGCAAATAAAATCAACCTCAGCAACAAATCAACTTCAACAACAAATCAACTTTCTATACTTTCCAAACTGAAGCTCCAGGTCGTGGATGCATGCTTCAAACTCAACAGCTCCCACTCAAACCACTCAAGTATCGACCATTGATACAACTGCCGATTTTGCTAGCTTCCCACAATTCACTTCAGAAAACAAAACAACTACACCGTTTTTCACGGAAATGAAGGTAAATAACATTCTCTGTTATAGAGTGTCTCAAAATTCTAGTAACGCAACTTCTTTTTTAAACTTTACATGGTTTGCTACGCTATCTTTTCAACTTTTTTTTGATGATTTTGAATAAATTTCTCATTGTTTAGATACAAAATTGTAGAAAAATTTATGTACTGCCATTATTCGTCTTCATTTGCAATAAAATACAGCCTCGAAATTGTTTAGTTGCTCAAAAAATGACTGCTTCTATTCTTACAAGTGTCAAAAAATCTTGGCGGCTGTATTTTCTTGCAAACGAAGACTAATAATGACAAATTTTTCTTCAATTTTATGTCTAAAACTGAGAAAAATGAGCAATTGACTCAATCTTATCAAAAATGTTGAAAGATAAGGCAGAAAAGAATACTAAAAGGAATCGTGTTGACTTGAATGTTGAATGTTGAATTTTGGGACATCCTGTAGATTGGTTGTTTTGTATGTATTCTATTAGGTGTGTGAAAAAGTAATCCACGTTTTTAACGTTTAAATATAAAAGACCATAAGTTTCGTTAAAATAATTTTTATTCAACGAAGTAATCACCATTCGAAAGAACAACCTTTTGCCAACGTTCTACAAGTAAAGACATTCCACGATAATAAAAATCTTGGTCCTTAGAGGCGAAGATCAAAAGATCAACCTCGGTTTCGACATCTTCTTCGGAATTGAACCGTTTATTGGCCAAAAAGTTAGACAGAGACAAAAATAAATAATAATCAGATGGAGAAAGGTCTGGACTATAAATTGGATGTGGTAAAACCTCCCATCCAACACTCTGGATTTTTTGTCGAGTCTGTAAAAAGACATGTGGTCGCGCGTTATCGTTCATGCGGTATCCATTTGTCCAACTTTTTGATAAAATTCATGGCATTCAAGCGTTTCCTTACGGTTGACCCATCACAATTTAATGTAAGGCCTATTTCTGAAGAGGTTGAACGAGGGTTTTCGAGAAGACAGCGTCTTATTTGGTCATCAGATAAAAATAAAAAGCGTGGATTACTTTTTCACACACCTTATACAAAAGTACCACACAATCAACGATGTTTAGACACAATTCCCGGTGTTTCCTTATATTCCGACAGCCAACGGTTATACGCCCAGCTTTACAAGGTAAAAATTTCGATTATATCAGTATCAAAGAATCAATTTCTCTCCAGCTTCTCTCCGATATCACACACGGGAGCTCTTGGTTGTCATACAGCGTTGAATGGTGAGAATAGCTGATAGCTTTTAGGGATGATAGATAAAGATGTAGTGTTAGAAATGAAAATAAAATAAACTGGATAATGAAACCAGCCTAGTCTTTTAGGAATTTAGTGTTTTTGAGGTTGAGAATTCAACCGAATTCAACCGAAGTCAGCCGAATTCAGCTGGAAATTTCAGGTTTCACGACACAAAGCCCATTCACGAGTCCTTATCTTGAAACAATCACAGAAATTAATTCAAACCTTGACATGAAATTAGAAGGATATGAATAAAAAAATGTTCTTTTCATTAGATTTTGATATTTAGAATTCTAATTGAAGCTTTTTTTTTGTTTTAGTGATTCTTACAGCTTTTCATTTTACAGCAGATTGTAATCACCGCTTTCCCATTGATCTCATGATGTGCAAACAATTTTCTTTTGATAATAATTTATTCTCACTGTTTGAATAAAAAAAAATGACTAGCTTCTTTCTAAAAACTACAAAAGAAATATGGAAGATCTTTTTCTTCGTTTTTATAATCGATGAATTCGGGGAGAGTTTGGAGAGTTCCATTGAATGTTTCCAAATGGATTTCTTCTCGTTTTTCTCTCAACATTTCTTTCCAATGATTTACCTTCTACAACTTCATCACTTTCCTGGCTTTTTCGTTTTCTTGATGATCTTGATGTACTCTAAATTTGATAGCAATCGATCGATAAATTCGAGGAGAGTTCGGGGTGTTTCAGTGAATGTTCCCAAATCGAGTAGCAATAATTACTAAGAACTAGCAGTAAGTAAGTGGCTATAAGTGCAAATTTGAGTTTCTTCCTTTATCAAGTCCTACTTCTTCAGTTTTTATTGTTTCCAATCGATCTCGCAGACTCGGCAGTAACCATTTTGCCATCTCTGTCTGGACATACTGTAAAATGTTGTTACTCTTTCTTTCGGCTGTAATGTTTTACTGTAAAACGTAGCTGTAATGTTTTACTTACATCAACAGGATCATCGGGAGAAGCTCTTTGAGAGTTAAGCCTTGTATCCAATGGAGATTTCCCCAAACGGGCTCTCTCATAGTGTTCGAGAGCCTGAAATGTTTTTCAATTCACAAATCTCATTTCAACTCACCGCATCACATTCACTTTTCCCTTCATGCAAACACACCGTTCTCGCATTCAAGAAGAGTCGTCTAAATTGGTTATTTGAAATCTTTTGCTTAAACAAAACTTTATACCAACCTTATTTGTGGGTTGTTATCAATGGCTGATGTTGATGGTTTCTGTTCATCAACTTTTTGAGTACTCTTTCTTGACGAGATTCCCGTTGAGCCATCTTGTGAGATCTACAAACAATCTGTTTCATATTTCTGGGCATTTCATGAAGTGCAACTCACCTGTAAATTGAGGGGACTCAATCCAAAAGGCATTGGAAGATAAGCCCCGGAAAGTTGTTTCGTTTTTTGTTCGGCATTCACAGCTGTGTTCATCAAATCAGAAATCATTTGGAGAGGATTTATCTAAAAATTGTATGCTCTTTTGAAAATCATTTTCATTTACTTGTTCGGTGGAGGGAAGCTTGTAGTTGGCTCCAAAATTGTTCTCAATGTTACTGTAGTGAAAGACTCCACGGGGAACCGTTTGACGCCCGTCAGATGAAGAATATGTCAGTGTTGGATCTAAAAATTCATATAGTTTTGATAAAAAACTATAAAACTTTCAAAATATAAATAGGCAAAGTTTTTTAAATGAAAACAATTGGGAAAGAGCCTGTTCAGCTCACTTTTCTCGTTCGATCGATCGGATGGTGAAAAGCGAAATTGAGCTTTGATGTTCGTAGCTGAAATTTGAAATTTATGAAATATGAAAGCTCGCAAACAGTAGATTACCGTATAGAATGCAGATGAGAAAAAATGTATCGGTGAAAAATCTCGTCAAACTCTGATTCATCTATGAGCAAGGAGAGCCCTTGCCATACAGCATAATATCGAATAAAGAAACTTTTCCTGGAAATAAGCAGATAAGCATTCTAAATCTAAAGCATAAGCAAATAATCATTCTAAATTCTAATTCTAAATGTTGGGTTGGGTTAATTAAAGTCATTTGATAATAGTCAAAGCTATGTAGAATATAGGACAAGAAGACATCCATGAAGGCACTCAAAATGAACTTGCACTCAAGAATGATATCTTAATGAAAAGGTCCAACCTTTTATCGTCTAAAGATCAATCGAAAGTGAGAAGTGAAAAAGAAAGAAATGATAGGAAAAAGAAAACCGAATTCTAGCCTACATTTGATAATGATTCTCTGGAGAGACTTTCTTAGAGCCATCATTTTCCTTTCATTTTCCCATCCACAATTAGTCTTTTCACTTCTCGACCGCTCTTTGCACCGAAAATCCTCCACTTTCCCCATTCCGGTTTCACACTTTTTTTTTATCTCTCTCTAGACGGCTATCATAATTGATGGGGTCATTGATGTAGATTTAGGTCTTAGATTAAAATTTGCTGCACCAAAAATAGATATACTTACACTTTTTGAGTACAAAGTACAAGCTTATCGCACGGGTTTGCCGAAATTGTCGCAATTGAGCATTGTACAAAACGTTCAAATCAGTTCGGTTTCAAATTACATCATCTGTCATCATATGAGCCAAGATTTTAGACCAGCAACAATCACTCTGACCTTTCTGACTGATCATTGAACATTGTTTTCAAGAAAATTGCCTAGAAACTCTCGAAAGATAACAGCAAATGGGAAACAAAATAAAGAATTCTCTTATCTTTTTATATACAAATCAAGACGATATAAAGCTTATAAGTTCTCAGCTGAAAAATATTTTTGAGCTTATGTCAATTTTCTTTTGATCTTCCAAAAATATGTAGTGTTTTCAGTTATGGTTGCAAATCGGATCCCTTGCAATCAGGAAGTCGATGCAGCTATTTTAGGGAAAAGTTTACCATTCAATTGTGGTCGAGTTTGCAGAAATCGGATAGTAAAGGTCTGTCAGTACTTAAAAGTTTTAAAGTTTCCTTAAATTTTATCCATTCATTTAGGCATCCCTCTCAGAACGTCACGCCTCATTTGATCCAACAAATTTTGAAAATCACGGTTTACCAAAAGAAAGTCTGCTGAATATCTATGAGAAATGGGGAAATGGAGGTTTTGGGATGGTTTTCACTGGGAATATCATGATTGATATGGTAAGAGTTGAAGAAAAAAAAAGGTGGTGTACTTTGAAAGATAGTTTAGAATAGTGTTTCTTGTGATTTCGCTTTCTAAAGACGCATCATTTAAACAATTTCTGCCACATAAATCTCCTTTAGTGTCTATATAAAGAAGATACAGCACACTCAATTACATAGTTGGCAAATTTTCAGGAAGATTCTTCCAACTGTTTTCTCTAGATGATAGATTTTAAGAAAAATGGCCTTTTGAGCTGAGACGCTGCTTGAGTTCTCTTTTAAATGCCTTGATATTGATGCCAGACCACACTCTAGTTTAGAAACATCTCGAAGCACCGGGCAATGTGATTGTATCAAAGGAAAACGATTCTCCAGTATTGAGGAGTTTGCTGAAGAGGTTGAAGTGTAAAGTTATTCCATTAAAATTTTTCAGATTAGCGTCGGCATTAAAAATGGATGGAGGATTGGCAATTGCTCAGTTAAACCATGTGAGTTTTCAGAATGACAAAACTGAATCAATCATAAACTTTTTGCAATCTGTCGATCAGTTTTGTAACGGTCCAGGAAATGAGCTTTGCTTTCGTTGTTTCCATTCAACTCCCCAAACCACCTTACAATTAGTTTTGGCCTTCATTGTGGTCTGACTACGAAAAGTTCCGGATTTTCCATTCGGCTCCCAAATGAAAATAGATTTCTTTCTCATTTCAAAGAGAAACACAAAATTTATCGCGTAAAACAATCATTTCAATCTGACAAAAACAAAATGATTTGAAAATGAAAAAGAAACGACGACGCGGCGCTCCCATCGACTACCTCCAAATGGTGACGACGTTAATTGGAATGCGACGTCTCTCAAAAATTAACATTTAAAATTTGCGACAGAAATTCAAATTTAGCATGAAAACGTCTCTAAAAAGCAATTTTTTTTCTCTGAAGATCTTTCTCTACTGATCGCAAGCAATCTAACCGCACTTTGTCATTCTATTGATTCAGTGCGGAAGGCAAACCCCCGAATTCTTGAATCCACATCCAAAATCGGCGTCTGATGTCAAATTGGAGATAGATTTTCATGGAATGGGCTTTGGGAAACCCGTTCCGTTAACAGGTTTGGTAGGATTTAAAAAATAGAGTTATTTCTTTAGCTGCGGAAATCAAGGATGAAGTGATCACTCGTTTCGTCGAGAGCGCCAAAATTTGTGTAGAAGCAGGTTAAGTTGAGCTAAGACGAGTTAGAGAATTTCTAAACTTTAGGTTTCGATGGGATTCAAGTTCATGCCGCACATGGCTACTTGCTGGCGCAGGTATGAATAGAGTCGAATAAAATTCAAATCGGCATATATTTGTATTGAAGAACTTTTAGTTCATGTCTCCACAGACAAATCAGAGGACGGATGAGTATGGAGGATCAGCTGAGAATCGAGTTCGCATCGTTGTTGAAGTGTATGAGGCGCTTAGGTAAGGATTGATTTGGACCTTTGTTGAAAACCTTTGTTACCTAATTTTTTACCTAGTCGTTGAACTTTAGAAAAGATCTGCCAAAAGATTTCATTATTGGCGTCAAGGTGAACTCGGTGGAATTTCAAGAGGGTGGATTAGAGACAAGTGATGCGAGAGTGATGTGTGCGAAGCTGGAGGTAGGAAGATAAAATTTGATACATTAAATAGTCAGCTTACTACTAGCATAGGATAAATGAAATTTTCAGGAGATCGGCTACGATTTCGTCGAGCTTTCCGGTGGCACATACGAGAATCTTCAAATGCATCATGTGAAAGAGTCGACAAGGAAACGAGAAGCTTTCTTTTTGGAGTTCACTGATAAAGTGAGTATTTTAGAGTATTGTATATAGCATATAATATCTGTCTGTCTGTCTTGGCTAAATTACAGTAACCCTTTTTTACAGATTCGACCGGTTTTCAGAAACACAAAAATGTTTGTCACTGGTGGCTTTCGAACGGTCGAGGTGGGGGTTGAAGTTACAAAAAAACAAGAGAATGACTAACTAGAACAAAATTGGATTATAAATAACTTCAGGGGATGGTCAAAGCGGTAGAGAGTGGAGCTTGTGATGGAATTGGGATGGGAAGACCGATTGCTTCCGAACCGGGTTAGCCCAATATTTGGTTGTCTTTTACTCTATGCAAACAGATTGCATTTCAAGATTATATCTAGATTATAGATCTTCCAAAGAAAATTCTTGCGGGATTAGCAAAAAGTGCTCCCGACACGAAAGTCAACCATGACATTTTTGCCTCGGGAGCCGGTGGGTTGTTGGTATGCTGTATTTTCCCTAACAGTATGACATGCGCAGAGGAGTTGCGTGTAGTCGTTCGCGTAGTCGCTCTTTTTTCCGCACTAAAGCATTTTTCTCTCTCGTGAACCTCTGGACCGATTTTGTTCGGGTTTTCTGGCTGCCTCATTTCTCTATTTTTGTCTATGTCTATAGGGAAAATATGTTATGCTGGTGTTATTCTGTTGAAAGAAGAAAATGATTTCATTTCAGCTGCAGCAGCTCAAATGTGGCAAGCAAGTGAAAGGGATTTCACTCAAGGAAATGGAGATCCTTGTGATGGAATTGCTGATCTTTCTGATGAAAATATTGCAAAGGAATTCAAAGAAGCTTTAGAGGTAAAAGAAATTAGTTTTTCAATCAATCATCAATCATTTTGTAATAGTTTTTACACAATTTCACAGTTTGTAATAGGTTTGTAATAGTTTATTCACAGTGACAACAATCGTAAGCCTAAGCCAAAGCCCAATAGTAACCAAAAGCAGACAAGTCAAGAAATTTAAAACAAAGCAGCATAATAACAAATAATAGAGAAATGAGGCAGCCATATATCCAGAAATAGTTAGGCATTCTCATTCTTCAACTGGCTTAGCCTTTACAATGATCTGTGTCTGAACATCAGAAACTCTTAAAATAACCAACCAATTTTTGCTTTTCTCACAGAAACATCCTCTACAATATGGTTTTTCGATTAACGGGGAAAACAATTCAAATGTCATATCATCAATTTTCTTTTCTATTTCCAAAAGTGACAAAAGATCTTGGGAAACATTGCTTTTTTGCAGTTCAAATTCCCCGATTGACCTCAACGCTCCAGCCTCCAAATCGATCCACTCCATTTCTTTTTCTTTTAACATCAAAATGATTTCATTCAATGTCACTTTTGCATCTTCTGGGTACTCTCTTTTATTACTGAAGATCACTGTAACCGTTGGATTCTTTTCTAGAATCTCTATTCTGTCCAAAAATTGATCTACGGCCACGCAAATCTCGTCATTGTCATCTAAATTATCGTGGATTGTGTATACTGTAGACGTTGTTAAGGAAAGAAATCGAAAATTAGGTAAAAACTTCTCGAAATGAAGAGCTTTACAGCTTTTGAGTTCTTCTTTTGCAAATATTTGTTCACATTCTTCATCCAATTCTTGATCGCTATAGATTTTGAGCTCTTTTTCAACATTTGGACAATAATAATCACATAGAAGTGCAGAAATGATTGAGGAATCTTCTAGTGGAAAGGACCATCGACCAAGTTCTGCAATCTCGAAATTCGCCACGTACTGAATGTTGAGAAACTTTTTCTCCAAAAACAACTTGTTGAGAGTTTTTTCGTTTTGACTTTCCGAGTAGAGTTTTACTTCAAGTTCTAGTGTTTTACAGGTACGAATTCTTGATACAAAGCTGAGTAAAAGATCTTTCAATTTGGAGCTGATTCTGAAGCCTTTTCCAGACTTTTTGTCATTCTTTTCGATTTGGCCACATTGAAGAAGTCCTTCTTTGTTTACCGACGTTTCAATCAAAACTATCGGATCATTATGACATGAAGAGATGATAATTTTGAGGAAATCAACTCTTTTTGATAGAAGACCACGATATAAATAATGATTCCGGAGGTGTTTATTGGTTTTGATGAGATTGATTGAGTCTGAATAGGTAACAAGGTCTAATATGGAGTTTTTGAGGTTGCTTGGAAGAGTTGCAAGGGATAACTTTGACCGCGAAGGAAGAATTTTCGATCGTTTAGTGATGGTTGACATGAGTTGTGAGGATTGAGTTTCGAAAAGGAAAAAAATCGAAAATGAAAAAGGAAAAGCTGACACTACGCATAAACTTTATCAGAGAAAAAGGGCTTGTCATGCTTTTTTATTGACTCAGCACTGAAGAAATAGATTTTTTTTAAATGTGAGACAAAATTTACCAAACTGACATTGGACTTCGTGTTAAAACATTAATTTTCAGGAATTCCAAAATTTGATCGAACGAAACCGAGCCGCAGGTCTTCCTGTGCCAAATAATGGAATTTTGGCCTGGTATCCGAAAGGATCAAAGTATCGAAAAAGCGAATAAAGGGACAATAATTACTGAATTTTATGTTTGGAAATGAAATTGATAAATTTTTTGCTTTAGTGAGAACTTGTAACCACAATCGTTTACTGCAGAGCTTTCAACAATAGAAAAAGCACGTGTTTGTTCAACTGCCCGTTTGACTGCTATAGAGACAAAAGAATTCAGCCCAACGACCTCGTAAAAATCAATGTAGATATTTTTAATCAATATGAGAACTTTATTCTGCATATCTCTTGGTCTTTTATTCAATGGTAAGTGCTTTGGAAGTAAGATGAGGTACTGAACTATCACTGTACTATCACTGTACTGTATTTCTAAAAGTGTTCTCCTCCATAAAGATTTATTGACTTGTAGTGAATGGAGATTACTTGAAGTATTTGCGACAAGTAATGGATTCGAGTGATGGAGGAAATGGGACGACAACAACATCAGCTACAACCAGTCAAACCACAACACAAGGATGTACGCAACCTATCTGGTGAGTTAAACTGAAATGAGGTCTTGTATTTCTTAAAGTGTGTGTTAGAACTAGCATTATACAAACTTTAGGACTGATTGGGCATCCTTCATGTCATGTGATAAAGATTGTGGTGCTTGCGGGACACAAATATTGAGAAGATCTTGCAATACATCAGCTCAAGGATGTTATTGTCCGTAAGGCAGTTAGAATTCAACTAAATTTAAAGCTGTATCGTTTACAATCTTACTAGGTTACGAAAAATGGTGTTATTTTAAGAAATTAGGATCAGAAATTTAGTGGTGAATCACAGAGAACAGTTCCCTGTAATATTGGTGCTTGTGGTTATCCATATCCAGCTTGTTGTCCTCCATCAACGCTGATGTTCTTTCAGAATACATTTGCTTGTGGCCCACAGACACAGGTAAAAGATGAAGAAATGGAATAGCTTATGGAAGAAATAGAATAGCTTATGCCTTTAGGAAATTTTACAAGTTTATACCAATTCATTGGCACTCGCGAACTCCACAAATGGTTACAGCCCGCCACCGTCCTATGTACAGACACCAGGTTGGTGAGGAGATTTGGAAATGAGCCTAAGCCTAACAAATACCCCTCCTATTACATGAAGATGAAAAATAAACAAAAGAATTTCAGTAGTGAACCGAGGTACAGCAACTCCCGGTCCTCCACAATCCAATCCCGTTACGGTATGTAAACGGTTAAACCACCAAAAATCATGGCCGATTTTAGACATCGAATGCATTGATTGGCTGAAATATCATAAAAGAAAATCGACAAAAATAATAAAACTTTTGTTTCGAAATCACACATAGCGCTAATTTGTTTTATTTGGTCACATTTGCATTTAACCACAATCGCAAAGTTTCGTCTCATTTCAAAACATTTCATTCTTATTTTCCCGGCAATCGTTTTCAACATTTTTTCAACGTGAAAACCAACTTACCAGTTGGTTTTCGCGCTTGTTTTGGTCAAAACTTATTGCGCTTTAGCAGGAACGATCCAGATTCTCCGCTTTTGGAAATGGTAAGGGATTTTGCCTTCATTGTTTGTAAGATTAGTTAAATCTAACTTTTCCGATCAATAGGTGATTAGTTTTAAACTCTTATTTGTAATTTTAGGAGCCAATTCTCAAGCAGAGCTCCGGCGGCAACGATATAATTAAGGAACACTATCTGGGAGTCCTCTATGCTAAACAGGTATCATTTAAATAGCAACTTTTTGTTTTTAACGTTTACTCGTTACATAAAGGTTCATAATTGTCTTAACTCTGATTGTAAGCATTTCTTTATTTTTCTTTTTATAGGCTGCACAACGTCTGGATCGATCTCAGTGTCGCATTTATTATCAACGTCCAATCGACGGTCTCATTCACGTTCAATTGCCTCTTTGTCTCGCATATCGCTCACGCGACGATCAAGAATGTTTTAGAATGAAGCAGTTGTTAATTACGTTTACAGATATTCCACTTTCCTTTGGTGAAAACGGGTTCGATGTGGCGAATCAAATACGGAGAGTCAAGAGTGTATGTATTTTTCTTTATTGTATGTTCATCACTCGATCCTAATTAAGTTGCTAATGTTTAATCATTTGCTTCCTCCTTATATTTTGAATTTAGACATGAATATTCATCGTTAGAAAGGCTCCTCAGCGAGAAAGACGTCTATTTTTACTTGAGCATCACAGAGTGAGTGTTTTGAAGAGAGGTTTACTGATAAATTGCTTTAATTTTAACTTTATATCTATTAAAATCTTGCAAAGTCACTAATTATTCTTATTTTTAGACCAGGAATGCCAATGGAAGCATTTCGAGTGAATCGACGTCCCAAAATAGTGGTAGAGAAGGAGCCGAATGAGAGACACGACGAAGAAGATGGTGATATCTGAAGACAAAGATCGACCTTGAACAGCCTCGTCAACATTTTCGTTCGGCACAAAACCAACCGAATCAATCATTTTTGGTACATGAATCGTTAAATTTCTCCGGTCAATAAATATATTTTTGATGTCCTTTTTTATGACTGAAGTTGAAAAGCATAAAATTACAACATGTTATTAAAGATTTATGTGGTTAGTTTTTGCATTACTTTCTCTATTAAAAGGGTAATTCTCCAGTAGTTTAGAGTCTATTTCTTTGTACTTTACTGGTAATTATCAGAGTATGGGTGATACGGGTGATACTCGATATTCCAAATTGGCCGGGCGAACATGTTGGCTCATTTACGTCGCCATGCTCATCGGATGTATGCTTCTTCTTGCCTGTGGAATGTTAAGTCGTAAGTTTTTTGGATACTATTGTCTAAATTTTATGGCAATTTTAAATTTTTAACTTTAGCATGGTTCTACGTTGCGCCTTTACATAAACACGGATTTAATCGCATCGTCGCCGGTTTTGGCTATCCATCAGCTCAAATTACCTACAAATGTATGCAAGTGAGTTTTGATTTCGGTTTTAAAAATATAGAAAAGATTAATATGGTGTTTATAAACCAATTTGTCTAATTCTAATTTGTTTTACACTCTAGGCTGTTTTTGCAGAAAACGCAACGAGCTTCGCCGATTTGCCCGTAAGTTTTGTGGCAAGAAAATGTGGAAACGACGAGAAACCCGATAGTAGCTTTTGGAATGACACAGTGAGCGTTGGTTCGTGGACTATTGAAAAGATTTACTCTAGGCAATTCGTCAAGCCGTAGAAATACACAAAGCTGACAATAACGGAATAGGTTTGATTTTTAATTTAATTTGTTTTATTTTTTGAGAGTCACTTACTTGCATTTAGTTTCAATGTTTTGTTTTAGACGAATGCTTATGGATTTCACTCGGATCTCTGGTTGTCGCTTCATCAACAGCTATCATTTTCTTTTTACTCTTCTTCATGGTTGGTTTATGAGTTTAACTTTTTCATATCAATAACTTTAGAACGTTTTCGCGTGTGTTTGCACCGTGAAGTACGGTCGTCTGTTAACTGCTATCGGTGCGCTCTTCTCCTCGACGTTTTGGTGAGTTTTTAACAATTTATGGGTTTAAAAAGTTTTTAGCATGGATATTCGTACTTATATTTTCTTGGGTCATTAAAAAACAATTTTAGTTTGCCGGCAGCAATCTGTACTTTCAGAGCCGTTTTCCCTTTATTCAAAAACCATCCACTTCTCAGAAAAATTGCCGGAGATTTAGGTGAACTCTTGGCTGTTTTGAAGAAATATTCTTACTGATTTTAAAAACCTTTTGTTAACTTTAGAACCTCCATACTACTTGGGTATTCACAATCTGATGGGTCATGGCCGATATTCTACCTTTTTCGCGGGCTTTTGTCTTTGTTTTGGTAAGTTTTAATTAAAGCTAATGCTTTTAAAAGCAACTAATGAATTTTAACAATAAATTTAATAAATTCTTTTTAATTTTTAGTGATAATTCTTGGTTTTACACAAGCTTTTGTGGGAGTGTTCAGAAATCACGAAAAACGCAAAGTAAATTTAATTTTTCTTTTCAACGCTTTAATTGGATTTAAGATGATATACGATTGGGAGAAGAATCCATCTCAATATCGACGTGTTTCACTCGCGCACAAAGATTGTGAACAAAAACATGCTTGTAATCCAGATCTTCATCAATTGACTCGTAAAGAAGCAAACTAGTGAAATTCTTATGATTGTGTTTGTAAATAGGTATTGTAAATATTCGCAATTCTCTAACAATAATTATTATTATTTTTATCTTGATTATTAAAGTTTGAAAGAGATTGGAGACCTCAAAATTGGATGGAAGTTTTGACAGCGAAGCGGTGGTTACATTAGAATTTTATTGCTTTTGAGATTAGGGCTTCTTTTTAAAAAACATGAATTCATGTCTGTTGTGTGTCTGTTTTGCTTTAATAGCAAGAAGATCAAAAGTTGAAAGCTATCATAATCATTTTACAATCCGAGATATGATCTTGATGCTTTCAAAGATGTCACTGGCATTGCTGCTTGGTAAAATTTTGAAACTTTCAAATGAGAAATAATTTTAGTTTTTTCTTGTTTTCTTCTGGTCGAAAACGCTGAAAAAGATGTGAGAAAGTGTAAGTTTTGACAATGAGAAACAAATTTATTTGAAGCCGACTTTAACAACCGCTCGGCTTATTCGAACAAGAAACATTTAGCAATCAGAGCTCCAATGAAGATGTTCTACAGTTTTATGGTGACCCCACCACCCCGCGAACCATTTAATACCGATCCTGGACATTATCAATACAATGATGAGGTTTTCTGACCCAATAATAAAAATAAAAATGCAAGTATAAATTTTTGTATTGAGAACTCATACATATCACCGAGATTTACATTGCTACAAGGGTTGCTTTGAAGTTTGATTTCTTGCAACATTCCGAAGTAGAAAATCTGGAATTACTGTAATTTCTATACTGTAATCTTGTGAAAAGTAGCGAACAATGGCATGACGATGAGACAAAATTCGCTGAACGGTTTTCTTCAAAAGGAATTTCCTTTTGCGGGAGGTCTTTTACTGCCTATTGAGCATTTCTTTTTGAGCTCTCACTCAAAACGACACGAAAATTTGCATTTCGATCACCGAGACAAAGACACCGTTTCTTTTTCTGTTTTCAATTGGTTGTAGGATCTTTGTCGGTTTGGCTATTGTGTTTGATATCGTTGTTTAGAGATTACTTTTTCTATAAAAAACCGTTTTTTTGCTACATTACTCCAAATTTGCATGGAATTTTGAAAAGGTAACCAAATTGGCTTGATACCGTAAAAACTCTAATAGAACGGCCCACATCCGCGCAAAATAAGGCGAAAAAAACGTTCTCTATCAGAATTTCACGTTTGAGTATTCGTTCGACGCAGAAAATTGTGCTGAATCGAATGGTGAAGAAATTATCGAAATCCATCTGACTCGATTTCAACTTAAAAAGGCATCAAGTCTTCGCAGAGTTGATCAATTTTTATTTTTTTGGTATCAAAATGATCTTTGCACACGTCGACACAAAAGTTATCGGTTTTGAGGGCGCAATCTTTCGACCACGCTGAGAACGAGCCACCGAAAGTTGATCCCGGCGAGCGAGTTGATTGTAAAAGTGCAGTTTTTTCGATAAAACGCGATTTTCAAAAAATCGAGTCAAACGGACTTCGATAATTTCTTCATCATTCGATTCAGCACAATTTTCTGCGTCGAATGAATCCTCAAACGTGAAATTCTGATAGAGAACACCATTTCGCGCGGATGTGCGGCCTCCTATAGGAGCGTCGCGTCGTCTAAGTTTACTCTCAAACAAACCCTCATATCTGACACCAGTAAGTTTGTGGTATTGAAATTGGTATTGAAACTTAGGTATTGAAATTAAAGTAGAGGATGGGTGATTTTTTGAGATATAACACATATTTTTAACATTAACCAGTGCTTAGAAAAAAATGGTTGAAAAGTGGCAAAAAGAGCCGATTTCGCCGATTTTCAATCATTTTTTTCTAAGCGCTGGTTAATGTTAAAAATATGTGTTATATCTCAAAAATCACCCATCCTCTCTACCTTAATTTGATATCTAAGTGCGCAGAAACAAACGTACTGGTGTCAAGATATGAGTGTTTGTTTGAGAGTAAACTTAGACTCTATTAGGAGGAGCTCCTATAGGAGGTCGCTCTATTACAGCATTTACGGTAATTATTCTGGCAGAATTTCCTACACTATAAAACGATTACCTACTCTATCAGGAAACGTGCAAAATAGATTTTCTGTTTTTCGAAAGCTATACGAAATTCCAATAAAGTGTCAATATTAATTTCGATTCATGGCGCTTTCTGAGAGAAGACTCATCTTCGAATTGACTCAAAAAGGAGATGAGAGTGATGGAAATGGGTTTTGTTCGTGAAAAGGGAAGACTCTTCTTCTTTAGATAGAATGGCAAAGGGTAAAAGCATAGAAAAACCATTGGATGGCTTCCGAAACCACTCATGCATGCCCCAATAGGAAAGGGGAGGGGCAGGGGATGGGGAGAGGTCCTCTATGGGTCTGAAGAGGGGACCTTTCTAATGCGTTTGACTTGAGGGCTTCTGGGGAATCCCACAACTTTGTTTTTTCTGTTGTTTTGCAGAAATTGTTTACAATTTTCTTTGTTTAAAACGAGACCACAACATCTGTTTTCGATCAGCCATACCATTTAAAAGTGTTCATGTTCAAAGAGACTTTGCATAGCTTACACGAATCTCTGAAAATATTAGTCTATCCAGAAAGTCTTTTCGTTCCTTTTCGTACTTCCGTTGTTCAAGACAAATTCACCAATTTAACTGCAGCTTGTTTCATTAGAAAGACTCTAGCCTGGGTCTGGATCTAGTCCAATCTTCAGCCAATCTGATCTTTCCCTGACCCCAGTCTACCTGGAACTAGATCTGAGGCCATATGTTCAATTACCGGAAACTTCCCGCGGAAAAACTCCAAAAACGCAATCTTCAGCGCTTTTCTCTAGCTAGAAACGTCCATTTTGGATAAAATTTTAAAGCCGTTCTTTCTAAATATTAAAAAAAATTCTGTAGCAGGAAAAGCGCAGAAACAGGAACAATTTTCCTACAATTTGCAAGAAATCACAAAACTAAATGCAAATCTTGTAAAAAGTGGTAAAATGAAGGCTCGCTGTCACCATAGTATTCTAAGGGAGAGGAGAGATTCTTGAGCAAGAAAATTACAGTAGGACAGAGATAAATAGACTCTACTTAGGGCAAAATGATCACGGTGTAAAAAAACTAAAACTAAAACTTATTATTCTGGCAACACCAAAATGAAAACAGAATTTTCCATAGCGTTTTCGATAGCATAAAATGCACAAGAAGCTAGATAAGCATATCAAAGTTGTGCTTGCACTCCAGGAAAGAAATTCTATGATTCAAAATCATTGCACAAGTCAAGATATTAGCTTACCCAGAAAGTCTTCTTTTCATACCTTCGTTGAAAAATAACAAATTCACGAATTAATCTATGGTTTGCTCTAAATGAAAAGTATTGTTGTTGTTGTTGTTGTTATTGTTCAATTTCCCATCTTTTTAAGTCAATTTGGGTTCACTTTCAAGCAAATTCGAGACTGAAAAAACGTGTTTAAATATATAAAAACCTCTACGAAGGGCTGAATGAATTTCTCTGAAAAATTTGGCTATAGATTTTCTGGATAACCTAATAGATTTGGGACGAAGAGGGGGTCACTAAATGTGTTTGTGGGGGAGTGAGGGAGAGGGTTGAACGAACGAAATTTGATCCAAAAACGTTGCTCTCTTTGGTCTCTTTCGGGAAGAGAAGGCTAACTAGAGACCCGTCCTCTCCTCACTTCTACACATTCTCCAATCTTCGATTGACCGCTAAATAGTATTCTTTTCTAAATAGATGTTTGTGATTATTTTGGCGAATGGTCTTTAAAAGTTTGTAATCATCGCGGCACTTCTTTGTAATCATTGCGGCACTTAGTATTAGTAGGGGTAGATTTTGGTATATTGGCCAGAGGTTCAGGGAACTCTGGCCCAAAGGCTCTGGCCCTCTGGTCTCTGGCCAACTACCTCTGCCCAAGTGACATCAGGCTATCTACCCCCCTCCAATACTAAAGAAGTATCATCATTGTACCCCAGAATGGAGATCTGAACATCTGTTTTTGATTTGTGCGTTGATATCGATTTTGTTTAAGAAATCATTTGTCATTTCAAATCTATTGTAAACTATTGCTCAAAAAGGTTCACTGGGTAACATTTTTTGGTGCTGGTTGGTCGATTCAACTACCGGAATCCCGGAACGAGGAAGAGGCATGAAACAAGAGGCGAGAGAGACAAGGCTATTTACAGGCGAGGGTGAGTGCCATCCCCCAATTTGGACATTGTTTGATCGGCTTATTGTCGACAACACCCAATCCCAGTTCTCTTCTCAAATAACTATCGACTCTCTGCTCTCTTTGCAACTTTTCGTCTCCATATTCTCACCTAAATCTCCATCCAGGCACTCTAGTTAATTAGACCAACTGGAAGAGTGATATTTTGAATTTTGTATGACTTTTGGCTGCTTTTGAATTTGAATTACATTTATTGCAATACAATACGGTCAACCCCAGTTCTTCGAGCCCAAAGTTGACACAGAAAGTCATTCTATAGAAAAAAGCTTTGAAAAGGTGTCGTCTCTTTTCAAACTCTGATTCGAGAAAGCAAACAAAAATTGCATTTTACACTATCGTTATTTTTTAACGTTTTTATATTTTGAAAAGCTCATTTATCATTTGTCATTTATCTTTTCTATCGACAAATACAATTTATGAAAAACGAAACAGCTGTGTCTTTTTTACATAATGGTGATCGGGGCGGTGACTCAGTAGAGTCGAAAATAAAAAAAGGACACAAACTTTTGACTTACGAATCATTGCAACTTATTTACATTCATCGATTACACTTTTTGGATAATAGATTTACTTTACTTCTTTGTAGTAAAGATTAATTTTAAAGATTGATTAAACTTGATTGAGGACTTTTGCATCACCAGTACGGTGAACTAGAAGTAGACTTTTCAAAAAAAGAGTGGCTCGAGTCGAGTTACGAGTCGAGTTTCAAGTCCGAATCGAGTCACTCTTTTTTCGAAAAGCTCAGGTCTAGTCCAAAATCTAGTCGAGTCGAGTCACTGAGTCGAGTCACTGAGTCGAGTCACTGAGTCGAGTCACTGAGTCGAGTCACTGAGTCGAGTCACTGGTCGAGTCACTGAGTCGAGTCACTGAGTCGAGTCACTGAGTCGAGTCACTGAGTCGAGTCGTGACTCGAATAGTGACTCGAATAGTGACTTGAATAGTGACTTGACTCGATTCGACTGACTCGTGACTCGAAGCCCATTTCTACAGTGAACAATCCACAAGACAATCCACAAGGAACAAACCCTTTTTTTAATTTTTACTCACCTAGAACCGTTTCATTTCTTCGAATGGATATTCTTTTGATATTTGTGCATTATTCATTCACTTATTCTTCCATTCATTCAACGAGTTTGCTGACAGCGCATGAACTGAACAAATAAACGATCCGACAAAAGTGGAGAATGAATTCATTTGATTGACACACTTTACTCCTACTCTAGAAAATAAATGAGTCGCCAATGAAAGTGTTTCATTAGTAAAACTTGACTTACTTGACTACCTTCTGTAACAATTTCCCGTAATTATCACAGCTTCTCCATTTGATTCTTTTCCCCTCTCTTTCCTTTCTTTCAGTTGTAATACCCTTGTTGATTTTGCCTGCAGGATCTCTTTTTTCATTTCCCATCCCAAAAGAGAAGACCCACACCGGGTGAACAATTTGCGAAACGGAAAGAAAAGAGAGTGAGCAGGATGAGCAGTATTTCTCTTACCTCTATCTATTTTCTGTTCTCTCAGACTCCATTGGGTCCTTTACTCTCTTGACCAACCCATTCCATTCTATTTTCCTGTTTTGGCATCGTCAATTCCAATTTTATTGACTTTAGAGGGCAGTTGGGGAGGCTTTCTATAATAAAAATCTTAATTCAACGGATGATTTCTATTAGATTGAGGAAAAATAAGACGTACTTGTTTGGGTATAACAATTTATTGCATTCTACAAGAAATCGCAACTATTAACCAGTGAGGTATTCTCCATTTTTATTCACTTCTTTCCATCTTGACGCAAGTCATTGATTCCATTTGTGAAAAATTGGGGATTTTTGGGGCCAAAATAGTTGTCGACCGCTTTTTTTTTTAAATTTGTGGAAAAAATTTTTTTCCCATTAAAAATTTTTTTAGGGAAAAAAAAAAGGAAAAAGGGGGGGGGGGGGGGGGGGGAGGGGGGGGAGTTCCAGCCCAGCTTGTCAAATTTTTTGTCAGTGACTCTTGCAGTGTGGAGTTTCGCGTTCTCGTGCAAAAATCGAATCTTTGATAGAATCCAATTTCTTTAAAACATCATTAACTCTAGTCAATTGTTTTGAATAGAGATCAGCATTAATGCTTTTCCTGGATTAGGTTATGACCTTTTGAGCTCCACCAGCAATAGAGCATTATTTTCTTTTCATGAATATCGGGTTTGGGAGTGTTTTGACGGGTTTTCCAGAAGATAGCCATTGGTTCTTCCTTTTGACATTCTCGTAATTAAGCTCATCAGATGTCCAAGTTTCATCAAATGTCAAAATCGAATCTCAAAACCACCAGCTTAATGGAGGAAAAAGCTAGCGTTGACAGGAGTTGTTTTGTTGTCTTGAGTCAGTGAGTGAGTCACCCATTTTCCACAGCGAATTTTTTCCGAATTGGTGCAAATGGTTGTCGATTGTTTTCTGATCAACATCAAGCATTTCTGCAAGCAAGTGTTGGGTTGAATTCAATTTCTAATCTAATCTTTCTAATAAACTAATCAAATAGTTACTGTAGCCCTTTTGTTTTCTTTTGTTCTTCCGATTCTCTTCAGAAATTTCACTATTCCAATGTAAAATTTATTTTCATCATCTATTTTCATTCAACTTTTTGAACCACCCATCTTTCTAGATGACGGTCTCCGACGAGGAGGCTCAAAAGCAGAATCTCTTACCAGCCACAGATCATCCGTAAGTTTAAAAAAAGCTTAAAATATCTGAGATATCTATCATCATCTATTTAGAAGGTAATTTCCCCATTCAGCTCGTAACCGTAAGTTGAAAATGAGCGCTTTCTCTGCTAGATCTCTTTTTTTCCTTTGTTCTCTCTAATCACTTTGTCTGATCTCTAATCACTTTGTTTCCAAAAAACGTTTTAGATTTCATTATAGCATGTGTTTGTGAATAACTTTTTGCTGACTTTCACAGAGTAGAGATCAAGTTTTAAGTGTTCTTTGTGGCTTTCACTTAAACGCTGGAATCTGGTACACCATTGTGTGCTAGACACCTTGCGTTCATGGCCTTTCAAAGTATACAATCTCATTAACACAAGAAAAGTTGATGCTTCCGCTTTAGGAATACGATCGAATTCTACAATTCACGATCTCGCGTTTTCCACGATGATGAAGAAGACAAAATTGTTTTCTATTTTGATTACAAAAAGGAAGGAAACGATCAAGAAGAAATTATCAATTGGCAGAAGTTAAAAGAATTGGTTGGTTTTAGAAGTTACAGTTTTTAAGTGAATTTTAGAAAGACAAGAAGCGTTGGGGAGTGATCAGACACCCGTTGGTACTCAATTTTGTCAATGAGAGATTATTGGGTATATTATTCTTTAGTTATTCAACACTTCTTTTCAGATTGTGCCGGTTTCTACACCTTCCATATGCTTACTTATTTCTCCTTTCTTTTAATCCTTTCTTCACATGTTTTCTCGAGAACTCGCTTTAAAGATTGGCTTATTACTGGATATCTTGCTTTATTTCTTTTCTTTATGGTAAGTGTGGGTTTAAAGAAGTGATTAGGACTGGAAACCAGTTAGACTAAAGATTGCTGGGCACCAATTAGACTAAAGATTGCTGGAAACCAGTCAGACTAAAGATTGCTGGGAACTAGCTAGACTAAAGATTGCTGGACACCAGTTAGACTAAAGATTGCTGGGCACCAGTTAGACTAAAGATTGCTGAGAACCAGTTAGACTAAAGATTACTGGGTACTAGTTAGACTGAAGGTTCACTGAAGACCAGTCAGACAAGATACTGTAAGACCAAACACTGTCTTCAAACTTGTCTAATCCTTTAACTTATTACAGAAGGTGATACTGCAGCTTATCCTGATCTTATTACAGATCACTACAATTACTCAAATACATTTTCAGTTAATCAAAGGAGCTATCAAAGTCCAAATCTCAACTGGTGTCTCTTGTTGGTTCGCCATCGCTTATGCTTTCAATTTCCTCACCTATGCGGCCACATTTGCTTATGTTTGGTTACCAACTGTATTCAAATATGATGATTATCATCCAGAAGTCAAGGTTTATCTAGGATTAGCTTAGCATTTACTGATTCATTTAGAGTATAATCTTATGGTTTCTCCCAATTGTTGCGATCATTTCGGCGTGGGTGAATTTCTTGTACATTCTCCGGAAAAGCCCCTATGGAATCTATATTTTCATGATGGTTCGAATTCTTCGATCGTTTGGACATGTGAGTTTGAAAATTCATTTTATTCATTCAATCTGAATTAAGATTTGAATTGAAATCTGAATCAAGATTTGAATTTCAATCTGATTTCAGTCTGAATTCCAATCTGATTTCAGATAGCCACCATTTGGATCCCAACACTGATTGCTTTCTCTTTCGCTTTTCATCTAATCATGAGAGACTCGGGAATCGAGCCATGGATGAGTGTGGAACAGGTGGAGAAAAGGAAATTGATCAAACTTAGATCAAGATCGTTAACTTTGTTTGTTTGTTTTGTTTCTTTCATCTTGATGAAAGAAACAAAAAGAAAGAGAAAGGCAAACTTAACTTAAAGACAAAATTTAGGATACAAACTCAACGATGATTCACAAATTGTTCATCATCTTACAAGCGATCACCAAAACATCGACAATGATGATCGGTGAAGTGAGTGAGCTTGATAGGAACTGAAAAATTTTGAAATAACTTTTCCAATATGCTTTAGGTAGACGCAAATGACATTCTCGGAACGAAACAATGGATTCCCTCAATTCTCGTGCTGGCTTTCGAAATCATCACCGTTATTTTGCTCATGAATCTCATGGTTTGTTTAAAAAAGACTTGTAAAGCAGGAAACTCTTTGGAAGATTGAAAGATTGAAAGATTGAAAGATTGAGAGATTCGATTCCAACTTTCAGGTCTCACTTGCTGTTGGTGATGTGAGTGATCTCAGGAATTCGGCTCAAGATAAACTGCTCAAAATTAAGGTAGTCATGTAGACAATTAAGGTAAATATGCTATCTAAAGCTTTGTTCCAGGTCAGTTTTGTGATCGAGGCGTTGCAACTCAGCCAGGCATTGCCAAGCACTCTTCCAGATAGATGTAAGTTGATTTACATTTCAAAATATAAACATTAAAGTTCTATATGCATTTTTAAACCTTACAGGGTTATTGTACAAGAAAAAGACAAAAAACGTGTTGGTCGTTGACCGAGATGAGAACTATTTTACCGTGATGCGCTCGAAGAACGATTTTCGCACCAAGACCGGTAAAAACTTGAGAACTTAAGCAGATAATTACCTAAATAAACAAAAGCTTAGTATTTTGCAAATATAATTTCTATTGCTTACAATATTGCTATTGCCATTGCTATTGCTTTACAATACAATATTGATATTTCTATTACTTTACAATACAATATTGCTATTGCTATTGTTTTACAATACAACTTCTTACAATTTCTATTGCTAGGTGAGTCTCGGAGTCCAACTCGAACTCCAGCAGCTGTGCGAGATCAAGTCTATCGAATGTCATTCACAAATCCCCGAATGAGGGTTCGAGTACAGAAGCAACATCTCGTTGGAAGGCATCAAATGGTTCATTTAGAAGATTGTCAGGTCAGATCTCTATCTATAAAGTGATAAATCTTTACCTAACACTACTTCTTCTCAACATCTTCTTCATTTTCTTCTTCATCTTCATTTTCAGATCGTTTTCACTGAATCTCCCGATTCGGGAATTCCCCGTTGGGAGGAAGAGCCAACAAATCCATCGGATCAAGATAATTGGACACGAAAATACGCTAAATGGTTGATTGGACTTGATTGGATTGGATATCTGGATCTATGAGATAAGCAATAAACAATCAAGATCTCACTTATCTTTCAGGATTCATTTGCAGTATTGTAAACCTCAACATTTCTTTGAGCTTTCCTTTTCTATTTGTTTCGTTGAGTACTTGAATAAATATATATAGTAGATTCTATTAGTTATTTGAATTTTAGTAGCTTAACCATTTTCTTTCAATTGAATACATCAAGATGAGAAAGCAAAAAAGCAAAAAAGGCAAAACCGGGTTCTCGACTTGTTTCCCCTTTTCGTTTTCCCCTCAAATTAGACAGTGACCTTGCTCAAGAAGTTCAAGTTGAAAAAGAAAAAATTAGGAGAATTCTCGTCTTTCAGTCATCGGAAAATAATATTCAAAAAAAGGTTGAAGGATTAGAAAAAATAGAGGTCGATGAAAGGGGAAATTGTTGATAAAAGAAAAGAAAGAAGATAAAAGAAAAGAAGAAATGAGGCCAAAGTAGGGAGAACAAGTTCAAGAGATTTTCCTATTAGACTGTGTTCTTCAGGGTTGAGAAATTTGCTAAAAGAGTGCGCTTAGGAAAAGCTTAAGCTATCGTATTCCCAGTCTTAAAAGCTACCGTAAACCTCGTCTTAAAAGCTACCGTAAACCTCGTCTTCAAAGCTGTCGTATCTTCATTCGTATCTTATAATTTCCTATCTCTTCAAAACCAAAATCCACCAAATCCGAAAACGTTCTTTTCCTCAAAAGCCTCTCAAGTATCGACTCTCCAGAACACTAGCAAAAAAGGGGTGAAAAAGCCAATCTCTTCCCATTTTTTCTTCTTTCATTCAAAATGCCATTCGTGTTGGAAATTCCGGTTTCTGGACAACAAAACTCCCCACTCACTTTCACTTTTGACTTTTTCCTCTTTTCTGGTATGGTAATTCCAGGAAATTCAAACGCGCAAGAAAATTGGCGCCCGTCAACAACAAAAAAAGACCTTACTTTCTCGGAAAACGGTTGTGAGTGAAAAAAGAGGAATTCCAGACTTTCCATTGTTTCCCTCTTAATTGAAAAATGAAAGAACAGGTCATTTTTCATTTATTGCCTTGGGGTGAGGTGAGGGAATTGAAAGAAAGAAGAGGGGAAAATTGGGGATAGATCGTCTCGTTTTGGCACTTTCTCAAGGTGATGACTCAATAAATTATGGAAAAGAGTGGGTAAGTAAAAAAATAAGAATGGTAAAGGGTAAAAAGGCATAGATAAACGTTTACAGGATCCCTAACAGTCGATACATATCATGGCGGTGTCCAGTAGAGTCCGAGATCTTCCAGCTCTCATCTGAATCCACAAAAATACAAGGAAAGCGACAGAACCTCTTAAAAGGCTTAGGTTTACGATTTGTGTGGTTACGATTCAAGCTACGATCATTGAATAGCAAAATAGCATTGTTGTTGATACTCTGGAATTTTCTATACTGAAAACCTCTATGATTTGTGTCGTTGTCCCGTTTTCTCTCTTTTTCACATATCATTTCTCTCTTTTAGATACAAATGGCGTAAATGACGCCTGTGGAATGTGAGAGGAGGAGAGGGGAAGAGGAGAGGAAGAGGAGGGGAAGAGGAGAGGAAGAAGAGAGGAAGAGGAGAGGAAGAGGAGAGGAAGAGGAGGGGAAGAGGAGGGGAAGAGGAGATGAAGAGGAGAGGAAAAGGAGAGGAGGAGGAGGGGAAGAGGAGGGATAGGATTGTGAATGAGCAATTCAATGAGCCGGTTAGTAACGGGTAGAAAAGAATTTAGGAAAGGAAAAAGAAAAGAAATCAACAATTAAAGAATAGGAAAGAATTGATGTACAGATGTTTGATGTTTAAATTCGACTTTAAATAACGACTGGATTTGGTATGCTTGCAGAGCCTAAAAACTGGGCCTACAGGATCTATTAGAGTATAAAGTATCCATTCCATCCATTCAAGCCTACAGTATCCATTACAGTATACAGCTCAGGCCCAGGCATTTAGTGGATACTGTAGACCCATTCAGTATCCATTCAAGGCTACAGTATCCATTCAAGCCTACAGTATCCATTCAAGCTATGACAGACAGACAGATCCACAAAATAGAAATAGATACTGTAGCAGAGTCAGATGCAGAACAGATTCAGATTCTTTTGCAGATTACTTGATTTCACCAAAAGCAAAACAACTTTGCTTTACAATAACCCTTTCACTACCCAAAAAATTGATTGCATATCAAATTGTTGATGAAATCAAAAAATGGGTGTGACTAGTTGTGGGTAAAGGCAGACAGGAGGGAAAATTGCCTGAGGCAAGACAAGGACACGAGGAGGAGAGAATGTCCAACCCCTCCTTCTTTCCTTTTACACAGACCACACCCCAATGATTGTCCTCTCCTGTATAAAAGAGCGCTTGCTGAGGAAAGGCTTCAGAGCAAATTCCCTCTCTCAACCTCAAAATGTTTGAGGAGAAACTCCTTGTCGGTATTGCTTCTACATGCTCGGCTTTGGCCATCGTCGCAACTCTAATCGTCATCCCAAGTCTCTACAATGAGATCAATGAGGTGAGTATTGTAGACTGCAATTCTCTTTAGTTTTAAAGGCTCCACTGAAAACTTATCTGCTTATTCAGGTGCACAATGCTGTCATGGACGGTGTCAACGTTTTCCGCGTGGAGACTGACTCGGCTTGGACTCAAATGATGGACATTCAAATTGTCGTCTCTCCACCATCAAAGCCCAGGTAAGAACAGAAATCGATCCAAACAATCATACCATCAATTTCAGAGCGAATCCCTTCAACTCGATCTTCCGTCAGAAACGTCAAGACTTCTCGGGACTCCCAGCTTGGTGTCAATGTGAGCCAGCAAAGCCCCAATGCCCACCTGGACCACCTGGACCACCTGGAGAGCCAGGACAACCCGGACAGCCTGGACCACCTGGACCACCTGGAGATGATATCCATGAGACCTATGCTCCGATCACTTGCGCCCCACAAGATACCTCTTGCATCAAGTGCCCTCAAGGACCAGCCGGACCCCCTGGTCCCGATGGAAATGCTGGACCTGCTGGCTCTGATGGGCAACCAGGACAGCCTGGAGGACGTGGAAATGATGGAGCACCTGGACCCGCTGGATCCCCTGGAGATAGTGGAGCAGCTGGAAACCCGGGAACCGATGGACAGCCTGGAGCCCCCGGAAAAGACGGACAAAAGGGACGTGGAATGCCTGGAGCTCCTGGACCATCTGGACAGCCTGGACCCGCCGGACAACCTGGATCAAATGGAAACAATGGACAACCTGGAGCCCCTGGACCACAAGGACCACCTGGCCCAGCTGGATCTGCTGGACAGCCCGGCCCAGACGGACAACCAGGAGGCCCTGGTGGACCTGGACTTCCCGGTAGCGACGCCGCATACTGTCCATGCCCACCGAGGTAAGAGTTAGATTATAACCTGAAATATGATCTAAAAGAACTGATAGAATTGATAGACCCCTGAGAATAGAGCTTTGCTTGATAACAAGATCAAATTATATATTTCCAGATCGGCTGTCTTCGTCAACCGATACGCCAAGAAGAGAGCTTAAATCGAAGAAATTTTGTAGCTTTAGTCATGCAAATAAATACATTTTTAAAGAATCTTTGTGTAAACCAGAAAGTGCACAAAAAGACTAGAGGAAAAGCGCGGAAAAAGGAATGATTGTCATTCTTGAAAATTGTTGAGCTGTTGAGCTTTATTTGAAACTCTTTGAAACTGAATCTGACCTGAAACTGAAACTAAATGCTCATTTGTAAACCAAAAATGCTTTGTCCAATAAAACAAACAGTTCAGACTCTATAAGTTTTAAAATAAGATATCTAGATGAAACAGCCGGTTTTATGTAATAGATGTATTGTATTTTTCTCGTTTCTTGTATTCAATCGAACATTTATTGCATAATAGACAATCTCTACGATCGCATCTATCCTTATTGCTTAAAGAACATATTGTAGGATCTCGGGGGGCATGGGCAATAAGCGGCATCAGGTCCTGGTAGCCCAGGTCCACCAGGTTGTCCTGGATGTCCATCTGAGCCACGACGTCCCGGTCCACCAGGAGATCCAGTTGGTCCCATTGGTCCGGCATTTCCAGGGCGGCCAGGGTTTCCATTGGGCCCAGATTGGCCAGCGGGTCCCATTCTTCCGGGCTGTCCAGGTTGTCCAGGCTTTCCCTTTCCTCGTTGTCCATCCCGTCCAGGCTGACCGGATTGTCCTGGAGTTCCTGGGCGTCCTGGTTGCCCATTGTCTCCTGGGAAACCAACAGACCCAGGCTGTCCATCTCTTCCTCTATTCCCTGGTTGTCCAGGTCCTCCAGGTCGGCCAGGAGGACCTTGATATCCATTTTGTCCTGGAGGTCCTGCGGGACCTGGCGGGCATTTGACACAAGAATTATCAAGTGGTGGACAAGTGATTGGGGCATATGTCCGCGTGTTATCATTTCCAGGTGGTCCAGGGGGTCCAGGGGTTCCAGGAGTTCCCGGTTGTCCGGCAGGTCCAGGTGGTCCAGGTGGGCATTGGGGTTTCGGCGGTTCGCATTGACACCAAGCTGGGAGTCCCGAGAAGTCTTGACGTTTCTGACGGAAGATCGAGTTGAAGGGATTCGCTCTGAAATTGATGGTATGATTGTTTGGATCTATTTCTGTTCTTACCTAGGCTTTGACGGTGGAGAGACGACAATTTGAATGTCCATCATTTGAGTCCAAGCCGAGTCAGTCTCCACGCGGAAAACGTTTACCGAGTCAAGTACTTGATCATGAATCTAAATAGTTTAGTCATTAACAATCGCTCTTTCTATTTTAACCTCATTGATCTCAAAATAAAGACTCGGGATTACAATTAGAGTAGTTGCTACAGCGAGAGCTGAAGCAATCGAGGCTATCGTCACGATCAAGCGCTCTTCTCCCATCTTCTCTGAAAACTGTTAGAGTAAATGAGCATAGTTAATGAAAAAGCTTTGTTAAAAGTTTAAAAAAATGAACAAAGCATAGAATTCAAAGAATAGAAGCTATGATCAGATCAGCAATCCAGTATAGCAGTGGATCCAATCTCCTTAATGTGACTGGATGTTCGATTCCTTCCACCCAATCCATTCCTCCTTTTATATCCATCGATTCCCATTTCTTTTCTTTTCCAAACTCCGACCCAACCCCCTTCTTTTTTCAGAAACTACTTAATAGATCTTCTTTTACAAAAACCTTCTCTTCCACGATGAGATTTTCTTCTCTTTTCTTTTTTTCTTTTCGAATCTCTTTTCCATCAGAAAATCGAATTGAAATGACTCGAAAAGTTCTTTGGATTCACTTGTGCATGTTTTTTTTTCTCGATTCCCCTCAATTTTTCGATTTTCACCCTTTTCACTTTTGTGAAACTTTTTTGGAGAATCGAAATTTACATGGATGGCATCCGAGAAAAGAAAAGAAAAAAAAGTGAAAGTGGGAAATGGAATTTGACAGTTATAGAGGGGACAAAAGATGGAAAGCTTTGAGATTCTGTAACTGTTGTTTGTTCGAGATTAAATGGTGTTTGATTGTTTAAATTAGAGTGTTTCTTGTTTCGTTAAATTAGAGTGTTTCTGTTTCTTGATCAATTAATTAGTCGATTAAAGTTGAACGATTTATTGGGTTGGTGAATTGAAAACTGTTGGCTATTGTCATATGTGACAGTTTGAGGACTTTCTCCAAAAGAAACCCATTTTGGTGTCAATGGAAAAGTTGTAGAGAATCAAAAATGAAGCTTATATCCAAATTTTCAGAACGATTCAAAAACTGGTTTTCAAGAAATGCCAAATTTACGAATTTTCACAAAACAAAACAAAACAACATTACAAAACTTGCATTTTAAGCGAAACTACTAAGTGTATCTTTTTGGAAATTTGGCTATAAGCCTAATTTTTGATTCTCTACAACTTTTCTATTGGCACCAAAATGGGTTTCTTTTGAAGAAAGTGCTCAAACTGGGAGTCCTTCTCCAGTCTCCAGTCCATTTTTGAGTCTCACACTTGTCTGACACACAAACCAAAATCTAGCAATGTCTAGCAAAGCACTGTTCTAGTAAAGCGTATTGTCTAGTAAAGCACTATCCCATTCTTTCATCTCATTTACGCTAAAAAGTAATCAGAAACAATGTCTAGACCGATTGAATGCCGTTTTAAGGGATTCACTGTCTCTTTTCTTTCATTCAAATGTGTGACTAATTGGATCGAGTTTTTTTTCTCGTTTTCGCTCACATTTGAAAAGAGGAAAAGGAGAGCCAAACAAAAAAAGAGAACTTTATGCTTCTCTTTTCTTTTCAAGAGAACTTTTCAAACGCTGCAACTTGCTTATGCAAGAAATTTCATTGAATGATTGAATGATTATCTCAAAATCATCTCAAAATCTCAAAAAAAACATTTATCTCAAATAGCGTAATTGAAATTTGCATAAAAGAGTCAAAAAAAGAGAGAATAACTGCTTTTTACACATAAAAAAACTATACAAATCGCAAAAAAAAGTACACAAATATCTTAACGAGATATCATAAAAGATACAATAAATTCTCTTCTTTGTGATATGATTTTTGTGGTTTTTTGGAGAAAAGAGGCAAGAAAATAAAGAAAATTGTGCAAAAATAGAAGGGATTACGGTAATACATATACATATATGTATACAGCATGAAAATATGTAGAAACAAAGGAAAAAAGAGGACTAGCATCTACCCATGTGAGCTCATTTCATTGAGAAGAAACAAAGGGTATAATAGAAAAACAAAACAAATGTACAAATTATAATAAAACGAGAAAAAGAAATCTCTTTCGAAATGGGGTTTTTGTTTAGATTGAGAGCTGAGATTCCGACTTTTTTTGGGGGGAAAGGGATTACGGTATCTAGGACGATATTTGGGAAGTTTGGGTACAGCACAATTGCACAATGCTTTGACCAGCACAATGCACAATTGCAAGTGTTTAGACCAACTCAAGTGTTATCGAATCCGCCAAAACTTGTCTGTCTTGAGAGAAGCGGAGAAGCGGGAGTCGAAAATGAATGAACGAGTGGTGGAGGGACGAGGTAAGATTTTGGTTTCGGAGGCTGAAAAGGGAGTGCTTCAAAGATAGAATTGAATAGCGTCTACTACTGCTACTACTACTATATTGGCTATATTGGCTCCATATTGGCTTACTAGAATTTCTAAATAACTTACTTGAAAAGCCGACAATTCCCCTGATCCAATCGTCAATCCACTTGCAAGACTTCCAGCCAAACTGCTGCCTGGAATGAAGTTGGATTGGATTGGATTGGATTGGTTTGGATTGGATTGGATTCGTTTGTTGTTGTTTTCATTGTTAGCTACCTGGTGTCAATGTTCTTGACAGGGAACCAGATGGAGTTAATGATCCAAGAGATTCGGCTGGTGAAATTGTTGAGGAAATTCCAGAAGTTTTGTTGCTGGAGGTGAGATTTCCAAGAGCGTTGGCGGATCCAGAGATTGAAGTGGCTGGAATGAATTATTAGGCTGAAAGTTTTCGTTCCTTTTTTTCATTGTTTATCTAGTTTATCTAGTTTATCTAGATAAACAAGATGCTAGTTTATCTAATCAATTTTTAAAATCCAAATCATTCTCACCATCTAATCCAACCCTTAACGCATTCAACATTTGCCGAAAAGCCGCATCAGCAGCCGCGCTGTTCCCCAAGGCGTTGAGTGCACTGATTTGTGACGAGAAATCGTATGGAGTTCCATCGGGTCTCAAATGTGTTCTCATATGACGAGTGATCATGTCACGACGACTCTGAAACCTTTTTGATTACTGGAATTCCATAAAACGCAAATCTTTCCAACTCTAACCGCAAGCACCGCAGCATAATTGCCAACTAACCGCAGCATAATTGCACAATGGACATTGATACGGCTTCTCTCCGGTGTGCGTCCTTTGATGAGTCGACAAATGATCGGATCGGGAGAAGACTTGGCCACAAACCTGGCATGAGTACGGCTTGAGGCCAGTGTGTAAACGCATGTGTCTAAAGAAGAAAGTAAATTTAGTTAGAAATCGAATAAATCTACTTCACCGAATCTCTCACCTCGTCAGCATATCACTTCGTCCAAAACTTTTTGTGCACATCGTACATTTGTGGGTTTTCCCCGCTTCATCATTCACTGAAGCGGATCGATCGCTGAAATTTTTGAATTAGAATATGCTGAAATAGCCTTTGAAAGCTATAATAGCCCTTTGAAATCCTACCGATGTCTGCTCGCAATGTGTTTAGCAAGTCGGTCGTGTAAAGCGAAAGCTTGCCCACAGTGTTGACAAACGAATTGATTCTAAAATTGCATTAATTAAGACAAAATTACAAATCTAACCTGTGGCAGCACATTGGCAAGTTGTGGTGCAGTGACAGAGGCTCCATTCGGTAAAGTTGGTGGTTGAATATTTGGTGATATGGATCCAGAAAGAGCTCCACGATTGCCGGACACGTCCGATTCGGATCGAGAACGACGCCATAGGGTTGGGGACTGAAATATGTATTGAATGTTGGCAATATTTGAAATATTTCAAAATATCGTACCTTGATAGGCCCAGGACTTGACGCTCCGGAGTCCATACTTTTTTGTCGAGGTAGACCGTGTTGTTCGGTTGGTGGAGCCAAAAGAGCCGGATTCGGGGGAACAGAGAGGAGATTCGGATTGGGAGCAACTGAAGGCATATTTAGTTCTTGTTTTGGAACAAGAAAGTGAACAAGAAACAAGAAAGTTCAATTAAAATTCAAAAACTCACTTGGAGCGTACATGTTGAGCGCCAAAATCTGTCCTCTCACCCACAAATCGAATTGAGCTTGATGGCCGAGAGCCTGCTGAACAGCGGCCGCCAACTAGAAATGGTAGAAGTTCAGGGCTGTTTCAAAAAGCCAAAAGCCATGGTTAGTCAGGTCAAAGTTAGGTTAAAGCTAGGCCAAAGCTAGGCCAAAGCTAGGCCATAAGCCATGCATATCGCCTGGTTTTGGCTGGCTTGTCATGACAATTTTCTTATCAAACTCACATCCTCAATACTTCTCTCATGTGGCGGACTTGGTGGTGGTTCTTCAATGGTCGGCTGTCGGCTTGTCTGCCGACTCACACTTCTCAAATCCAGCTCATCAAACTCGGATTCAGCAGCACTTGGTGGTGGACTGCTGCTCGATCGTTGATCCGCAAGCTTTCTCTGTCTTTGTTCTTCTTGATATCGATGCATCAATCGTTTTTTGTATTGTCCGACATCCGATAATGGACGAGATGTTGTAGCTGGCACCTGAAATTTCAATTTTTCGATCGGTGATTGATTCAAACGGATCACTAACCGAAATGGTCGAGTGCATGCTTGTGTCCATTGACTCATCTTTCACCATTTCCCCATCGGATCGGCTGCGTTCTCTGAAGATTTATTCTATGAAGATTCAGAGCCACTAAGACAAAAGTCAAAATCTTTCAAAATACCTAGCCGTTAAGTCCAAAGAGAACGATTGTGGCTGCAAAAAGTGGCCGGCTCGATTGGACATCGAACTCGCGCTGCGGATTGGATCAAAGCTGAAATAATATGTTGGAGTTGTTAGATAAAGTCGATAAAAATGTTAGATACAAATAAAGCCAAATAGATAAAGTAACCTGAAATGAAGTAATTGTTGATGTGGAGTGGGTGAATGGAGTGGAGATCGGGCATAGATTGAGAATGGAGATTCGCCGCCAGGACAATCTAGGAATAAACATTTTGAACAACTACAATAGTGTGCTTGAATAGTGTGCATGAAGCATTAAATAAGGCTTAAAGCTTAAAGCTAACTAAGGCTTAAAATCATAGTATAGTTTTGTTAAAATTAGCCATACAAAAAGATCTTTTGCAGCCTTTCTTTATGTAGTTTATTCATCGATAAGTCTGGTTAGTGATGCTTGTTTTCGAGAGGTCAATTGATGGTAAACATAAGTAATGATGAGTGAAGGGGATACCAGAAAAAGGGGAATAAGGAGCAGGGGAGAAGATCACTCCAGGCGATCTAGTACCATCTTTCCCAACACCGATATCCGAAGCACCGTCATCCAAATCGAATGATGAACTGGAAATAAGCTTTAGCTTTAAATCAATAGCTTTAAATATTATGTAAATAAGGTACAGTACTGGACAATGAAATATCATATTTGACAAGGGAGTTACAAACGCGCGAAAGTGACAATCTTTTTTCAAAATAATATTTCATTGTCCAGTAGTGTACTTGTGTATTACAATCTACGTTACAATTACAGTCTACGTTACAATTACAATCTTATATCACAATCTTATAATCCTTTACTCACCCCTTTTCTCTAAACGCAGTCCATGGGCCAAGCTGCGATGTTGTGACAGAGATTGAACTTCTCGGACTTGAGCCAAGATCAGATGTGGCATAATTGGGAGACAGCGGGGCTAGTTTCCCGAAATCCGGACAATATCCGGGTAGACCAAGCTGGAAAATTGTCTTTAGATCTTTAGATTGAAAAATGTGGATCAAGAATCTGGACTACCGTAAGCTAAAGTAGCTAAAGTAGCTAAAGTAGTTTAAGTAGTCTATTTCTTATAGCAACAATTCTCTAAACCCACAAGATTTATGCGTTGCATGGCGTCTTCAGTCAACGGACACGGTCTTCTCAATCTCGATCCACCAGGGGATGTTGGGGATGAAGGAGCTGATGGACCTTGTTCACAAATGAGCGGTGGTTGCTGAAAAAAAGAAATATACAAACTAAATCTAGAAAATTAACTCTTTCAGGAAAATAACTCTTTCACAATCACTTAAAAAATGAGTCAGAGAGCTCAACTTGAGGATTTAAAAGTGATTCAGCTTAGTGATTTAGCCAAGAAAAAGCGGGACTAAAAGAAAATCATTAAAAAGGAATGAATTGAGGGGAAAAAGAGGAAAATAAAGGAAAAGAAAGGCACAAATGACCGACGATCGATTTTGAGCGATCCGATGGGAGAAAAGGAGTTCGGAAAGAGGAAAACTCGACCCTCTCAAGCTTCTTTTTCGAAAACTTTCTTTGGCCACGGTCTGGACCGAAAGTCGGAAAAGAAATTGAAAGAAAATAGGTTCAGTTTTGAGATCAGTTGGATTTTTAGTTGGCTACATGTTTAATGTTTAATTTTTAATAGTTTATTTGAGTTTAATACTTTGTTTGATAGTTTATTTGAGTTATTTTTATCACCTAGACCGGTTCATAGTTATAGCTAAATGTTTATAGCTAAATTTGCATGGCAAAGTAGACAGTACTGTGAGCTACCGTGATTGCCTGAATGGCTGAGCTTTTCATTATGAAATAAACACTATTATGAGGCTTTATTTTCTGTCTACTTTTGTCCACTCAGAAATTTTTGAACTCTATGCTTTTGCCCTCAATCTTTTTCCCTTCATCAACACCCACAAGAACAAAAGGTGTTCAACGTTTCCCTCTAAAAAAAGAGAGGTAATGGGTGGGAGTTGAGTGGGATGATCCCTGTCCTGATCTCAAAAAATGAATGTCAATGGATCTTTCTCTTTTTTTTTCTTTAACAGTTACAGCTGACGTTTCGACCTTTCATTTGGCCATTCACTGAGGAGAAAAAGAAATTTTGATCCTCGATGGGAAAAGAAAAGCCGACAAAGAGAAAAATGATAGGGTAGAAAGGAAAAAAAAGGGGATGGGACATTCCCGGAAATATCCATCACTGAAAAAGATCCGGATTTGAAAATTTGAAAAAGAAAATAGGAGAGATTGCCAATTCTGGAGATTGATTTAAATAGCTAAAAATATAAGGAATTGTAGAAAAAGCTAAAGTGGAAGTGATTTGGAAAGGATTTGACGTGATTGGAGTGTCAGAAGTGAGAAAAAGTGTCAGCTAGGCTGTATCAGGAGCTGTAGGCTATATCAGGAGTGAGAAAAGCTCTAGTCTCTAGTCTCTAGCTCTAATCTCTAGCTCTAGTCTCTAGCTCTAATCTCTAGCTCTAGTCTCTAGCTCTAGCTCTAGCTTTAATCTCTAGCTCTAGCTCTAGTCTCTAGCTCTAGCTCTAGCTCTAGCTCTATCTCTCTCGATCTAGTCTATTAGTCTTTTCCAGAAAGTCTTTTCGTTCATCTCCATACTTTCGTTGATAAATAACAAATTCATCAATTAACCTAGCGTTTGCTAAGTGGAAAAGGAACGAAAAGACTTTCTGGACAACCTAATAGATTATCAAAGTGATCCCACGTAAAGGACAGTAACGATTTGAGGAATTGAAGGGAATGATCGAAGAAAGTGTTGTCCACCCCGCCCTCACAGTGAGTAAACAGAGAAAACACGCCTTTTCACCCTCTGATTTCTCTCAGCTTCAATCTATTTCCTTTTTTCCGAACTGACCCCTTTGAGACCCGTGATTCTCTAAGAAAAAAAAGGAAAAGATGGATGGATCACTTCAAATTGGCCAGCATTTTCTCTGTCATAAACCGTCACAAGAAAGGGAGGGTAATGAGAAAATGAAAGGGGAAAGCCACTCTGTCTGCTTGGGCTCACTTTATTGCAAAAAAATTGGTGTTCATCGATCAAGTGAGGGAAATTTTGAGTCATTTAGTAAGCATTCTCAAATCTCACCGCCAAGAGTCCTTTTCTCGGTTGCGCATCACACATCTCAACATTATTTGATGGATTTGATGTGGTTGTCGGTAATAAAAGAGTTGGAGCATTGTGAAAACCCGGTGATGGAGAGAGATTCCGATCTGAAATTGATTTCATTACTGTAAAATGAATATAAATTACTGTAAAATTACTGTAAAATTAATATAGTTTTCACCTATTTGCGGAGTCGAGAGAAAATGATTCCTCGGTGGTTCGGTGACCGTTGGAGGGGTCAGATTCATTGTGGGGAGATCGTTCACCTGAAAAGAATTCGATATTATTGAGATAAACCATAATAAATACCGTAAATACGGTAATAGTACCGCACCCCCATAATGACGGTGCGGAGTTTTGCGTAGTCTAGCTTTAAACGAGTTTTTCTCGACACTGGTTTATGCTAAAATGCGCCCTTCGGTATCAAAAAATAGCCCTGAATTTCAGCTATTTTTTAATATCAAAGACGCATTTTTTGAAAGTACGGGCGCTTTGAAAAAAATAAAATACTAAGAAACTTTTGAGACTACGCGGCTTTACGAGGACGGTGGGGTACTATTACAGTATTTACGGTAAGTTATATGAAGTGAATAAGTGAATAAGAAGAAAACGAATAAGTTAAATTAAGAATGAAGTGAATTCTGAAAAAGAATTGATAAGTTAAGTTGTAGAAAATGTTTTAGATGTCAAAACAATTGTTTACCTCCGAATAATTTCATGCAAAAATTCGTCAATCGACAAAACGAGTGATCTTTTTTTAACGAGTAATCTTTATTTCAACTTTCTCGAGGTTAATTAAACCTTTCAATATTTGTGGGTGGCTGTCGCTCAAAATTGGCGAGTACAAAACGGGTTTTAACTCAAAAAGAAATTTGAAAAGCTCAAAAAGCCAAAAATAGATAAAATTCCTATATTTTGGCAAAGAAAAGGCCAAAAAAAGACTCAAAATTTCAACCCACTCGGAAATTGTTTTGAGATTTCCCTTGTCTTTTCCCGATCCTCCCCCACCAAACAATTTTGGGCTAATTTCAAATTTCCGCTTTAAAGGCCGAGAAATCGGGTTAGATTCTAGGGATTGTATTGTTTTGACGAATAAATGACCAGATAGGGTATGCTTAGCCATTTTTAAGCGCAAGTCAAGGTTCCGTTATAGGAAATATTAAAGGTTCTTATGGGTTATACCCGGCGGAAATTATTTCAGGGCAAAATAAGGAAAAAATGGCCCAAGCTTGGCACAAATTAGAGATTTTGCTTGGAGATACAACAAATGGAAGTCGCCAATCGATTACCCGACCTCGAAAACCCTTGGGTAAAATGTTTCGGCTTCATATCTCCTCTGGGCAATGTTTTCTTTTATAAAGAAATAGCTGGGTGTTCTGGTGCGGTCTTTGTGCGGCCGCGTAATCGCTCGCCATCTGGCGCAGGGCTTTAACACAAGAGGGGCCCCCTTTGCACAAAAAAAAATCGGTCCCGCTCTGGAACCAAATCTGTACCGAAAAGGAACCAAATCCATGCCGAAAAGGAACCAAATCTGTACCGAAAAGGAGCCAAATCTATGCCGAAAAGGAACCAAATCTGTACCGAAGAGGAACCAAATCTGTGCCGAAAAGGGATTGTCCCGCACTGTCCGTTCAAATCAATTAATTAATTCAGTAATAATTGACCGATTTCGTTCGGAATTTACATCTAGACGATCTAGACTGCAAAATTGATCCTAGCGTGTCATTTATGGAATTTTGTCCCACAAAAATGAGTGGGACTCTCGAAAAACTACATCGCGACCCAGTCTACTACAAAACCCGGAGGAGAAAAACGGGAAATGGGAAAGCTTTTAGAGAATTTCAGTAAAAATCCATCAAATCTTTCCCCGGAATCCTTCTGATGACCTGGGGATCAGATTTTGATTCGAAATTTTTTCCCATTTGAAATCTGGAGATTTCGATGGCTTAGATTCATCGGGTAATCCATCTTTTGAGATTAGAAAAGTGGAGAAGAAAACAAGAGGAAATCTGTCTTGTTTATAGTTTTAGCTAAATAGGACAGTGTTTTAGAAAATGCTTAAAAAGTTGGCTTTAGTTGGCTTTAGAAAACTGAGCAAACCCTTTGATCGTCTTTGCCAATGAGTTAGACGATCTTCAAGCAATAAATGTGAAAATTTGAAGACTTTAGCTCTTTGCTTCTTGTGTGTATCTGAAATTTCATAAATTAAAGATTGTTTATAACTATTCAATGAAAAGATTTCAATGAATCAAATAAAAGGAAAATTAGTTGCAAAAGATAAATGCAAATTAATTCATTTGATCGAATTCTCAGGAGGGTGTGAGAAAATTATTCTCTTTTAAGTTCGCAAAAAAAGAAATTGTCTCATAATCTTTGAAACAGACAGTACAAAAATTCAGCACGGGATTGTGACGAAACGGGTTTCTGATTGACTAATCCAAGGAAAGGGATGAATAAAAAAAAAGCAAAGCAAAAAAAGCAAATTTAGCAAATCAAAAAGAGTTTAATCTTTAGAGAAAAAACAGTCCTAGGATTTGAAAGAATTAATACAAAAAGGCTACAAGTAAACCATGTTTGTTTAGCAACAAATATCGTTTACTTGTAGTCGTTCAAAAACCTATAAAACTTATTCTTGTAAAAATTTTCATCGACTACATTGCTCTCATTCTTATAAAAGAAGTAGAGTGCGGATGTATGTATTAGATCAAAATAGGAACCGTATTGGAACCGTATTGGAACCATATTAGATCAAAAAAGGAACCGTATTGGAACCGTATTGGAATCGTATTGGAGCCTGTAATAGTACCCCACCCTCGTCGTACAGTCGGGTCGTCGCAAAAGTTTTTTAGTATTTCATTTTTTTCAAAGCGCCCGTACTTTCAAAAAATGCGTCTTTGGTATCAAAAAGTAGCTGAAATTCAGGGCTATTTTTTGAAACCTAAGCGAACATTGTAGCATAAAACAGTGTTGAGAAAAACTCGTTCAAAGCTAGACTACACAAAACTCCGCACCGTCATTATGGGGGTGGGGTACTATTACAGTATTTACGGTAGGTATTTTTGTTTGTGACTCATGTTAATAAAAAAGGCGGTGCTCCTGGCTTTATCTTCTTCTTTAAAGCTCATAGATCTTTAAAGCTCATTAAATTAAAGCTCATAGATCATTAAAGCTAAAGATATGCTAAAGGGATGCTAAAGATAAAGATGAACTCATCTTTGATTTCAATCAAAAGGTCGGCCGTTCTCACATTATTTATTGGAAGTAAGGGGCAGCCATTCAGTCAAAGAAAGCTCGAAGTTGGCTGGAAAATAAAAAAGAGATCAATAGACACTAGACCAAGAAACTCTTGAACTTTGCGATAGATATTCTGAATCAGATCTGGGCTAAATAGCTAAATGATTATTATCATTTGCTATATCATTATTATCATTTGATTTGGTTAAACTTATGATTGCAAAAGTAACTAAATGATTAAAAAATAAATGATTGAAAAATAAATGATTGAAAACTAAATAACTAAATGATCATCTCTCCTGTTCACCTCGAAAAGCCAAAACTTGCTTTTCATCGCCGAAAAGCGAATTCTCATTACCGATGAGAAATTCTTTTGTGAATAGCTTGTTGGGGTCGATGAGGAGTTAATCGAATGAAAGAAATGAAAGAAATGAATGAAATTGAGGTGAAATGAAAAGAGAAAAGTTGAGAAGAGAACTCATCCAATTGATCCGTTTGAAAAGAAGAATTGAAATGGAATGAACTGATGTCATAATCTATTCATTTAAAGGCTTTATGCTTTTTGATCTCTCGAAAAATGGAAAACGAAAGGGAAAAGTGGACGAGTTGGACAAAATCGCGGGAATTTTATTAGCAATAATCGGCTTTTTAAGAGGCAATTAATCTTGCGGAAATTTTGAGAGTTTTCAATTGGAAATTAGTGAATTTGAAAGGATGAATGGGGGAATTTTGAATGGATTTTGAATGGATTGCATTGGTGATTGCATTGGTGAATTTGATGCATATTTTACGTCCGTTATTGAATAGTTTCACTTAAATGGTTTCACTTAAATAGCTTCAATAACGAACGTAGTGTATATCACTTGAAAATTGGGTACTCGTTGTCAATGTCAGGATACTAATAACCTAGTAATCACTAAGATAATAGATTGGATAGAGATGAGTCTCAACAGTGCTCCAAGTGGAGTCTTTTGCACAATTCTTTAACCCAATAAAAGCAGTTCATGATGATGATGTAATTCTAAGTCAAATCTAATCTAATCTAAGTCAAAAAAACGCAATTCCTACTTGAAATGACTAATGAAAAGCAAGGAAGTGAATTGATGAGTGAGAGGAAGAAGAGATGGAGATGAGATGCGATATGGAGTGGACGGGAGCATCGCCATCGCCTTCTCACATCAATTTTCCCCCAAATTGATGATTTGATGAATTATTCGGTTTGAAAGAGTCAAACCCCACTCTTTCGCCCACACAAAGGGTCATTTCTCTTCGCGGAAAACCCCATATTTTTGTGATAGGTTATAGAATTTGTTTTACTTTATGAACTTACTAGATAATTAATTGAATAGTAGAGTGGAATTGTGACGAAAGACGGCTTAAAACTTGATCTGAATGAGGAGGAGTGATTATGGAAGAGATGAGGAGGGGACAAAATCCCTCTCAAGGGGGCAATTTGTGAGATGAATTTTTGTCTGAAGTGGTGTGAAAATAACTCTTTTCTTACCCGGGGTAGAAGAAATGGCTCTTTCCTATTGCTAGATACTTTAGAAAATCGGTTACCTTAAAAAGATCGAGTACTTTAACATCCTCCCTCACAGCTCCTCCACAGCCCATTGTCCATTATGGGTGTAATCCCATCTTCACAAATCCCTCCCAATTATCGAGACGGTTCAGCAATTACTTCGTCCTTCTTATAGAATATCTTTCTTCCTTACAAATCTCAATAATCTTTTCTTTTAAAATATTTCATTGACGTCAAGAATGACAAGAAAAACAGAAAAAATTCTCCCCGCCAATCTCATAAATATTTTTTCTTGGCGGGCCTGTTTTTTTTCTATTTCTTAATCTCAATTTGGTCAGCAATTGGTTGGTTTTTTGGTTTTTTTGAGAAAAAAATATTGGTCAGTTACAGAAATTAGATTCGAAAACGAAAAAATGGGAAAATTTTGTTGAATGAGAAATGAGAAAATAGGTGAATTGTACTAGCAATTTTTCCCACAAAAGAAAACGGAAA